CACTCAGATACGTAAAGGTGTAATACCGGAACAAACCCAGTTAGCCCCCGTATTGTTCAGCTCATTCTCGTCCTCATAAAAAAGGGAATTTCGTAAAGTCCTCTTTGGTGAGTAAGAGACAAAATCGCACTCCTTCTTTGATGCACAGATATCTAACACACTGTTCAGGTTGAGGAGGTTCTCCTGTAGAAGTGGGGAAGGACATGACAGCTGTGGTAATGACACGTATTGGGAATTAAAAATGATGGTTACATGGTGGAGAGAGCAGCGCTCCCACTAGCGGACTTCCTCGTTGTTTATAGCCATCCTCAAAAAAAAGGCATAAAAAATCGTACCGTGTTAAGAGCCTGGATGATACTTCTCCCGTCACAGAACTGAAAGGAGGGGGAAGGAAGACAATTGGGAAGGGGTATAAAAGGCACGAATACATCCCGAATACACAAATGGGTAAGCACATGCACACAAGAAGAATAAACGCAGGGAAGCACAAAATGTTTTGCAGAGAGGCCTGCACAAGTTAGGCAGGGACAAAAAGGTGCAATGAAACGAGCACTGTGTAAAATAAAGATCTTGGGAAGCAAAAAAAAGAAAAAATTAATCTGGGGTCTGCAAAATTCCTCCAAAGTGAGTAAGTAAACGTGGTTGACCCAAGCGCGAGCAGGACCCGGTTGTGACCCACCTTCTGCGAATTGTTTAAGAAGAGAAAATCCGACAAGTGCTCCTTTACCTCATTTTCTACAAGCGTCTTCGCTGCCCCCAGGCCGCAGGCCCCTTCAAAAGGAAACGATTAAAAGGTGTGTACTCCCGTGGATACGAACATACAGTTTCACGCAAAAAAAAAAAAAAACACTTAATTAAGTAGTGGTTATTAAGGAGCGGCGAAATAGTTAACCAGTGAACCCTCAGATCATACCAAACAGAGTTACAGTCAGACAGAAGACAACAGAAGTATTCTTCTTCATTTTTGACAAATATAGGACAAACCAATGGAACAAAAATAAGAGCGTGAGAATTAAATATAATAAGCAAGGAAATCTCCCATTTCCACTGCAACAGATATATAGGTACACGTATTGGGAAGCCCTGTGAAAATATAAAACGTAGGCAGATAGTCCAAATGAGGTAAAAGGAAGAAAAAATGAACCTTCTGTATGTACACGGTTATTTCCCCCTCTGGGAAGAACCTAACTGGTAAATTATTTTCTTTCCCCCTATTTGGAGTTAACTGCATGGATGAAAATCGTGAAAATTACCATACCGCTCAAGTGTTCACTGAAAAAAATAAAATGACTTTACAACGTCTGTTGGTTTTGCTCCCTTTCTTTGCACTCTCCCATGTCGGGGGAAAAAAAAGGGGACATCAGATCGTGTAGACCTTTCTCTTAACGTATGTCCATAGCACCAGTTAGCTAATGGGAAACTTCTACCCATTCTGCGTCATACTTGTTCCAAAAAAAGCAAAGGCACAGTTAAGATATTTTCACGCGGGTACCATTTTATTACTCTTTTTTTTTTTTTTTTAACCTCTCTGTGAATGTTTTTACAAAATGGAATACCGTGCATGGTCATTTCACAAAAATGGAAGGAGTGCACAGAAGATATGCCAATTCCACCTGGTTGGTGGCACGTTTGTCAACTTGAAAGAGCCCATCAGCGCTCTTGTCCTTCACCCATCAAAAATATTCCTACGTCCATGGCATATATACGTGCTCGGCATAAATACACACAAGTTAAGTATTTTCCACTTGGATTTTTTCCCCTTTGTTATGTGCCAATAGGAACTGGGGGGACAACTGAAGGAGCAGTTCATCATACTGTTCCATACCTCATTGCATACAATATTTGTTACGGGAAAAAAAAAAAAAAAATCAAAAATTAATTAAAGCCCCGTTAGTTTCACCCGCCTTGCAGCGCGATGAAGCGGCATCAGGAAAAGGACACCATAGGGAAATTTTTCCTTGTCCGTCTCGCATGATGCTCAGACAGTGGTACATGCGCCTAGCAAAGGTCTCCACCCACTGGGTGATAATAAAAAAGAAAACCAATCATTCAGTCGTAAAATATCGTGGGTATTACCGCCCCGAGACGCCCATGTGTTCTGTTCAATACTTCGTATTCTCTGAACACGTCTTAAACGGTTCATGCCGATGGGCACTTTCGCCTCTAGCCATACAAATGGCCAGGCCGAAGGTCAAGTTGAGGAACGACTACGCGATGATTATCAAATTTTCTACAAAAACGCTCCCAGGGTCTGTTGCTGTATATAGGATAGGTAGAGAAATACTGGCCTTTCCATAACTTGGCTCATGTAATTATTTTTTCGGACACACCTTTCACATTTAAAACCATGTTTGACCAAAAAAGCAGTAACAACATAAATATTACCCCACCTCACTGCCACACCCGCTGATTAAACGGATCATGCGCTTCAACAGAACGGGTGTGCACACGCTGGCTCCGCAGGTACTTATACGCGTGCAGAATTGAGTTTTCCCTACCCCCATCAACCAGATGTACATACGGCTTAGGCAAACATATACTCTGCGGGGGGGGAGGGGGGCGCGAAAAAATAGCTCCACCGTTAAGTCGAAAATTGTGTGATAAACTTAAATGTACGTACAAGGAAGGAACACACCCCTACGGCACCCTTCGCTCATCTTCCCTTTTCTTTCGTGGACTGATGGATGTTTCAATGCATTGTCATCAGTTGACCGCGTCATGGAGTGTGTCGGGTGGCTAATTACGCACTCTACGGAACTCCAGGGGCAAAGAAAATAAAAAATTAAAAAGGAAAATAAATTGATCAAACCGAGTGATGCGAATTGGAACAAAATCACACAAAAACAAAGCCAACAAAATAGCAGTCATGAAAAACTATCCAAAATAATGACAAGCTAAAATACCACAAGTGAAGAAGGCGAACTCCTTTAAAACATAAGGCAGAACTGTGAAAACAAGAAAATACCATTTATTTGCGAAGAGTGGAAATTCGACGGTCACTTGGACTGGACTAGACACTGTACACGGATGGAAAAAAAAACAATTGCAGCAAATAAACCTAAATGAATTGATGGGAAGACCAGGCCGAAAACGACGTTAAAAAAGGGCCAGAAAATTAGTGTTCCTGTTTTTGTCAGTGGAAAATAACCCGCAAGGAATATTTCCTTCAGTGGAGAAGATATTCAAAGGCGCGATTTTTTTTTATTTACCAACGGGGAAAAATATGTTATGCGCGGATAAGCGGCATACTCGAGTACATATCTAAAATATATGTATGTATATACATATATATATCACATATACCGCACGGTAAAAGCAAAATTAAAAAACCGCGCAACCGCTCGCGGAAAGAAGCAAAGGTGGGGTAGCATAGCCACGGTGAAGTGTTTCCCGGCACAAAAGCGCATACGCGCATAAGAAATACACATATATAATGATATATACATATATAATATCCGTATATATATATGTAACAATCCGTACATGCGCTGACAGCTTGGTTCCCGCTTCGCTTCACTGACGCACGACAGAAACGGTTCTCCAAAACAGGAAGCCATCTGCAAACCTTGCCTTCTCCGGCGGCGCACGTGTACAAACATAAACGCCTATGCATATCTACTTATAATATATATATACCTACATGACATAGCACATTCACCGGCGATTTTTCATTCAACCCGCCCACCCCCATATAATAATTGTATGATACCAGTGAGCCCAATTCGCGAACCTTCGCCAGCCACGAAAAAGTAAGAGAAAGTTGCAAAACAATTATCAAAAAATAAGCATAAAAAAAAAAAAACTAAAAGAAAATATAAGAAGTAAAATGTTAACAAAAATATTAGCCTACAGAAGTAAAAAAAAAAAGTACTAAAAGGAAAAAAAAAAAAAAAATAAACCCCTTATTTTTTACTTCAGCTTTTTACCCCTTTACAGAATCCACAATTTTTTATAAAAAATTAAGCGAAACTTAAAAAAAAAAACATACCAGGAAATAGGAAAACGAAACCATAATTAAAAAAGATAAATAAAATAAATAAACAAAGAAAAAAAATAAAACCAAGGAATACAAAAAAAAAAGAAGAATAAGATTAAGAAGGAAAAATTAAATTAAATAAATAAAAAAAACAAGCAATGAGATAATTGCGAATAAACGATTTAAGCGGGATAAACCAAAAAAAAACATCACTCCAGCTAACATCCAATCCGGAAAACCAGCAAATCTCCGAACGAACAACTAAGAACTTTTACCTTAACAAAAAGAAAAAAATAATGAGAAAAAAGTGAACATATTGGTATCAACAAAACAATACATAGGGAGGAACGCAAACCCGAATAATACCGTAAGGCAGCAAAAAAGGGCAAAGCGGTCAATCGCCCAAAGGGCAATGCGGGGAAAAACCGGACTGGCCAACTTATGAGTCCCATTTCCTGCGTCAGGCACCCAGCACATATACATACGCGCATATATATAGATATCATCCTTTGTGCATACATAGGCATATATGCAATTATACGCGTAAAACATGCCGCTTGTGAGGGGTGCCCATACATACCTTCGCGCGCCTGTGATGAACCCCCTCCTTCTGCATCCCCTCATGGCCCATTTCTTTTACCCCCCATTTACCCACTACAGATATCGCAATAGGAGCAGCACAACCAAGTTGACTACCCATTTTGGCAGAACCCCCAAAACAAAATATAGCCATCACCAAAGAAGGTGCAGTAAAACGCGTATGTATGCTAACGTGTAGGTAGATAACCAAATAAACAAAACTGACGTAGGTAACGTCAACGTGACACGACACCGAAAAAAAAAAAAAAATTAAATCAATTAAACAAATTAAACCAATTAGACCAATTTGACCAGTTAAACCAATTAAACCAATTAGACCAATTCGCGCCCGACTCAAAACAAATAGGCACATATACATACCTCCATTAGTAGACACACACACGTCCACGTACGTATAAACAGACACACGCGAAACGCAGTCAAAATGGAAAATGAAAAAAAAAATAACCAAAAACAAAACAGCGTTGATGAAAAAGAATTTCCAAACTCGAAAGTTTTACTAGTGTCAGTAAAAAGAACGAGGAGATTTCTAGAGAGAACAGCAAGGGAATTACTAGCAGGAGGAACCAAGTACATTATCCTCAGTGGTTTAGGTGATGCTTTACCATTATGTGTCCAACTACAGTCGTCCCTCCAGTCAAAAAATGCAGCCTTTGTTGTCAAAATTGAAACTTCGTATAGTTACTTTAACTCCAATTATTCGTACACCCCCGGGTTAAAAATTTATATGGAAAAGCACCCAGATTTTAAAGGCTCCAGAATATCACCAGGCTATGTCAGCTTCCATGAGAAGACTGATGGATTTACCCCCATCTTTGATGAAAATCCTAATGAATATATTTGCTCTGTCAATGCGGGAGATAGCAACTTATACGTAGGGGGTGATGGTATCAACGGAGCCTTTGCCGATCTATTGTCTTCGCAAAACCAGGAGGTTGATAAATATGAGGACTTGTTCAAGGTAAGCAGGGATAAAATGGCGGATTTAAGAGAGGGGGGCCAGTGCGTGAAAGGAGCGCCCTACAAGAGGCCCTCCAATGTGTACCAGCATCACCGCTGGGAAACCATGTTGGTGTTTTCCCACCCTATGTAATGCATCCCGCCAACAACAACAACAACAACAACAACAACAACAACAACAACAACAACAACAACAACAACAACAATAACAACAACAACAACAACAACAACAATAACAACAACAATAACAACAATAACAACAACAACAACAACAACAACAACGACAACAACACCACTATCACCCCTATCACCACTATCACCACCCAACAGGATCTCCTAAACAAAGCTGTACAAGAGCATGGCGATAAAACCGATGACGAAATAAAATCCGTAATAAACGATAACCTGGACAAAAAATACCCAGATGTGAAACTAGCCCTCTGTAGAATCCGAAGCAGCTTAAAGGAAGGGGATGATTACACCACGGGATCTGTCTTCATCGTGACATTTAAAAAGAACTTCCCACATAAGAAAGAGAAAAACATGGGCATGGTATATGTCGTTGGACCCAAAGGAAAGAACTACAGCTCGGTAGAAGAATTTATCGAGGCGGTTCATGAAACGGCAGAAAATCTGATGACGGCTCTATGTGATTACAACGGTTTGGTCAAACGTGAAGAAATAAAACACGTAAGAATGAACACGTGTAGAATCTGCTTATTTTCCGGAAGCATATACAAACACCCCAATGCTTCAAAACTTGATGTGGCAAAAGCTATCTTGAATGGCTTGGCCGTTGGATACAGACACGGACCATCCCCCAGACTGAACTTCACCTATGACGAAAACGTGTTTAAGGATGCTTGGATAGAGACCACGGGGCTGCAGGTTTTTAACCACAATGAGAAGGAATAGAGAGGAAAAAGAAACAGAGGAGGAGGAGAAGAAGAACAAGAAAAAGAAGACGACGACAGAGGGGGAGACGTGTATCATTCCATTGCATATAGGTGCCTATACAAAAATATAGCCCCATGTGCATGTTTTCCCACTGTGCCTGCGGATCCACATGCCGGTTTTTTTTGCACATATGATGCATGCGTAGAGCCACACATTGGTATACGCACATGTGTACACATACTTACAATCCTGCTTCTGTTATATGGGCTCGTCTTCCTCTCCCCCCTCCCCCCCCAAAAAAAAAAAAAATTTAGAAACTATTAGCAAGTTCTTGTTTCTGTGCTATGCATTTCTACATAAGAATTCATTTACATATTTGTAATTAAGAATAAGGAGCAAGGAGCAAAAAACAAAAAAAAAAAAAAAAAAAAAAAGAGGAAAAAGGATAACCATATATATCAGATTAAAAGTCAAAATGTTCAGTGACAAGTACTGCAACGCCTGTGAAAAAGATAAACGAAGACGCGTTCCTAGTGTAGGAATGGAACCCGTCTCTGTGGTATGCGTTATGTGCATGATATGGGCGCTTGTGAAACAGATGCGCCCATATATGTGTGCTCATATATTGCATGTATGGAGTTTCACATATGTATATGTCCTATATATATGTATGTGCCTACATACACATAGACGCACATCAGGCGTATGCCCAGAGAGATGCAAGGAAAGGCAAAACAAATTGTTGCCATGCCACGTTTGCTGCGAGAAATCAATGTGATTATATTGTGTTTACAATTTAACATATAAAAAAAAAAAAAAAAAAAAAAAGAAAAAAAAAATACCAGGTTGTTACATAAACACACTCACAATTCAAATTATTCAGTTCTGCATATTTACCTATTTACATATTTTTTTTTTCCCATAAACCACATTTTAAACATTTATCATTTCCCTATTTAAGATACAGAATAATTCTTTTATTATTAGTAGCATTAATTTCCTTTTTCCTTTGTTGTTTTTTTCCCCCACCCCCCCTTTTCGGTACTTCCATATAAAACATATTTAAAGATTAAAAAAAAAAAAAAAAAAAGAATACTTTGTAAGTGTATTCCTATTTTTAAATCCTTTTAAAAATAATTGTTTTGATAACGGATCGGATGGGGCATCATCACAACACGGGGTCGCTTCACCATTCGCGTAATTTGGCAACAAGGGGGTCCGCGGTGTGGCGGGGTAACCGTGAAGCAGTATGACGGTGTAGCGGCCTATCGTCACGCTTCGCCCACGCGCGGCACACTTATGTGTGCCATTTTGCCAAAGCTAATGTAACGCGGTAGGTTCATATCCCCGCACTCGCAGATCAAGACAAACAAACACCGCATCGTATGAGCATATTCAAAAAAGGCGTCTTTTAATTAACTGAATTATTAAGTTAAATAAAATGCTTGTAACGTAAAAAAAAAAAAGAAAAAAAAAAATGATACATGTCAGACAGCGAAAAAAAGGAATGATCTAGTGGTTCATTCCTCTGCACTGTTAAAATATTTTCTAGCATTCTGCCACTGCCTTTTTCTTACATCATGTGCACAAATGAGTAAAACAGGAGAGCTAAAATGGGGCACACGCCCCTTCTGATGAATCCACGCAAAGGGTAGACACAAAAAGAAAAAAAAAAATTACCAATAGGTAATAATTCTTAAAATTACCATTAGGTAAAAATTTTCACATTTTCAAACAAAAAAACAAAAGGATAAAAATAAAGTAAAAATGGCATAGACAATGGTCAACATAACACGTGAAAAAAAAAAATCAGCCCCGAGTTGTTATGCTTATTTGGTGCGTTCCTCTGCTCCTTTTTCCACCATGCTGCTACCTCCACTTCCTCTGGTGCCTGTTGCAAACCCCGTGGTCTGCCAGCTCCCTCTCACTGAACGCCAAGTAGGCATACAGCAAGGTCAGCGAGATGATGTAAATCACTACGAAAAAAAGGCTAATAAGAAGGGAGGTGTCCTTCGATATTTTGAAGCACCACGTAAAGACGTACTTGTACAGGACTATTAAAATTATTGGCGCCAAAATAATTAATAAAACAAATATAAAAAATTTTTTCAAAACTTGTGAGTTCTCTTTATATGTTAGAAAGTCGTTTAATCCAAAATTTCCTCCTTCAGCTGCCTTGGATTCATTAGTATCCTCATCACTCCCTTCATCCGTCGCGGGTCCAGTCACCTCATCGGACAGGGAATGTTCTTCCTCCTGGGCGTCTTTGTCATTTCCCTTGATCTTAGCTTGGCTGGTATTTTCTCCCTTAGCAAAACGATTGGACGACGCTATGTTGATTTTTCTCAACATCCTTTTTTATTGGCATCTCCTACATAGAAGGGGGTTGTCACTAGGGAGCGATGATCTCCAGGCGGGGTGGGGGTGGAGCCTCGCTTCACAATGCAAAGCCTCCGTAAAATATATTCTCCACAAAAATGGAAAAGAAATTCTGCAATAAAATCTTCGCGAAATTTATCACCGTCACTATTTATTCGCACAGAAGGTTGTTAGCATTTTTCACTAAATCGAAAACGTCAAAAATAGTTTAACTACCAAACGGGAAACCATCACGGGGGGGGAAGAAGAAGAAAAAAAAAAAAAACAGTTACGCGCAGCTAAAAGGTACATTCCATTTTGCCACTTTTTTCCGCTCTTTCAAAATGTGCTTTTTTCCTTTTCGCGAAATGAAAACAAGCCGTGGGTGTCCGCATACACACGTGCATACATATATGCTTACGTGCAGCATGACTATCAATTGGAATTTAATGAGGTGAATGAAACGGCACAGTACCCATGGGGGGATTAATACACGCCTCAATTTTATCCGACAAAAAAATACAAAAAACAGGATGTCCCCCTCAGTGCTTAATTGAAACATTGAGCTGTTGGTAATTCTGCCGTGAGAGTGGCATCACGAAAAATCGCCAAAACGTACGCAACCTGAGGGGCATGGAAATGAACAAGAACGCTATTGTAGTAGTAAGAGTACTGCAATGCTTATACAAATAGGAACAAAATTGCAAACACACATGCAAGTGCGCTTCCCTTTGGAACCACCGGGAGCCTAGCAAGCCGCACCCCGGCACATGTATCTCATTGGTGTAACATGAAAAAAATGATAGTGCTTAATCTGTACAATCTCCGACTCATGAGCAAAGCTAACGAGCAAGGCCGAAATCCCGGCAAAGGTTGAAAAAGCACACGATATACCAGAACGGCAGACGCCTTTTCTCTGAGCTCAGGAGAAAAAAAACCATTTGATGAGCAAACCAAATGTGCTAATTAAGGCCCTCCTCCAAAGATATGAATTTTTTGAAATTATAAGTTTAAAATTTTTTAAATCCCATTTTGTTCATTTTGGGACATGTATAGTGAAGTGCGCGAACGTTCAGGGTACTCCCCCGTTCGAGTCTGAAAAAGGGACACACAATCAAACGCTTCTTTTAATGCACGTCCCGCTTGTCACTGCGCATGTGCGCTTAGCTCTGTTTCCATTATGTTTTTCTTCCTCTTCGTTGGTGCCACCACATTCGTGCAACTCCGTTCACGCCACTCTTTCAAAACAAAACAAACTTCCAATTTTATTATGGAATTTTTTTGTACGAATGTGTATACGTCAGATCACCCGCTTATTTGCCAGCTGGGCGAGATATAATAAATAGCATTTGCTTTCCCTCCTTTAAACCCTTACTTTTAATCGTCGCTTTGTCCCATTCTGCGCCACTCTGCCGGATTTTTCGTAATCATCGCAATAGTCGCAATCGCCGCAACCATCGCAACCGTCGCAACCCCCTCGCTTTAATTTCCACCAGCTCGAAACCCCAAAATGAAGACCATCACCGAAAATGGAGTCCTCACCGAAACGATTTGCCCCAGTAAGAATGTGCTCAAGTACGAGGAAAAGGTTTTCGTGAACAGGGGGGAATCACTCATCAAGGTGGATCCGTCTTACTACATCAAACAAGTTAGGCTCCAGCGAAATCCTCGCGAGGGCGAAAATAAAAAAAAAAAATGAGAAAAAAAATGAGAAAGAAAATTATGAATCCTAAACCCTAAAAAAAAAGATGCACCATAGCACAGCCCACATGCCACACTGCACAAACGCTACTTGTAATGCCATTCCGTGCCTTCCGTCTCACTTCATTTGATCGTTCCAAATAATTTTCGTTCCATCGCCAGATGAACTTTTCTGAATGTGCATTATGCGCGTCGTCCCGTCTGTGCAGCCCCGTGTGTTGTGGATGTGCTTGAGCGTGGTTTCGTGTTGTTATCTATTTTTCTTTTTCATACGCTGCGCCTGCCTAACCCTTTCCACAGCTTTCTTTTCGTGCTGTGCCATTCCGTTACAATATCTGCATATTCATCCTTGGCGCACGTGTGTGTCTAGCTATATGAACGCGCCTTCCCCAATTTGGGCAGCGCTTATATCCTCTCCCACGTCGCCTTCTCCCCTCCCTCAGAAAGTGCTGAACATTCAAAACCTGAACTACTTGCTAAGCAGCTACTCCGAATTTTTCGAAAACTACAGAACGCTGTGCGTCCTCTCTGTGTTAAACATTTTCATAATTCTCTTTCTTCTCCTTCTGTACTTGTTATTTTCCCTCATAATATTTCTACCGGTAAGGGACCTAAACGCACGCTTAGCCTTTTGTGCAACAGGAGAGAAGGCACGCGGGAGTGTGTATGTCTTGGGGGTGGGGGAGCGCAACCACCTGTCTGAATGTATTTCTATCCCCTTGGCAGCACATACAAGAAGATATATTTCTATACATATATACACGTACATACAGGTGCTCATATGCCAAAATATGCTTTTCCTCCCCCTGTTAGGCCATTTTTTTGGTATGCTCCCTGTTCTCCTGTTCGTTTCCTATGTTCTACCCCTTAATTAAGGTATCACGCGGGCGCACACGGTGTGCAGGAACCGGACGAAGCGCGGCGAGGCCAAGTGAATCCCCTTTTAAGACGGTGCGCCGGATGACCACACGCAACTTTCGATGAAACCTTTCCCCCCCTTTTTTTTTTTTTTTTTTTAGGACAAAACACAAATAATTCTCAAGGAGGAAATAATTTTCTCTACATGCATAACAATCGGCTCGATATTATTTTTTATATCAATTCTTTTTATATATTTGACGCCATTCGTTTCCGTTTTCTTATACCCCTTCAATGCTATTTTCATGCCCCTTATTTCGACCCTAATTTTGCCGATGATCGTAAGGCGTGAAACAGCGTCATGGGGCCAAGCGGCAGATTCGAAATGGCCAATCAGCAATTCTGCAAAGATCACTCTCTCCACAATCGGAACCCTGCAAGGGGGAAGTGGCAGTAGATCATCATGCTACCTCCACACAACGAACAACTCATTTCCTTCCCCTCGCAGCTATTCATAAACACAAGCGTGTGTGCTGTTTATGTCGCTTTTTATACCCAGGTTAGTGGAACCCTTAGGCCTGGGTCAAAATGCCCCAAACGAGTGTACATGTAAATTATGTGCGCATGTTATATGCATTTATTTGTGTATCAAAAACATACGAAATACGCCTCGCACGTCCTCCCTGCCTCTCCATAAAATTTTCTCCCCCTTTGGAACACAATTTGTAGGCCGCGTCAAATGTTAAACACGTAGTGCAGCACGCGTCAAGATACATCTTTTTCAAGGTTCCCCTTTTTTACCTTTAAGGTGAGAAAAAAAAAAAAAAAACAAACTTTGTAATTTTGATGGCCACTTATCCCCACATATATTATATACACAATTCGGCACCAACTGCTGGAAAGGTATCTTCTTCATATACTACGCTGCAACGCGAGGCAATCATATGCACACGTAACACTGCAGGCGTCTCCTCGCATTCGTGTCATTAAAAGATTTTTTTTCACACTGTGTTCCACCATTAGTAATTACCTTTTTATCTTCAACGACGTATCCTACGCACGTCGTCATTTTTCTTGAATCCCCCGCTATTCCTTTGCCGAATTCGTATGTACATACATATATGGATACATAGGTATATATATAAATATGCACAATGACACAGGCGATTTTTTCACTTTTTAATTTTAAAACCCAACATCCTTTTTAACATACCACGGGTTCCTAACTTGATGCAACACGCACAACATCCACAAAGCGGGGATATTCTGCTAATTAGTTCGGAAGCGGCGGGTACCTTTTTTTTCGTTAAATCTACGGACAGGAGAAAGAGTGTAGCGAAAAAGACGCCTCAATTTGTGCGGCTTACAAAACCTACAACTCGGACTGTTTAAAACTGCGAACGTGAGAATGGTAAAGATGGGAGCAGATAAATCGGCGAAATTTTTCCTTCATGTCGAGGGCTATACGTGATATATATGTATCTGTATGTATGCATGTATAATTATACGTATTACGTGCGCCGTGAACCACCTGCATATATGCAAATAGGGGTGCTATTTATATACACACCGCATCCCGATCTTCGTGCCGTTGTTTTGGGTTTTCTCTCATATCCTTAACTTAAATAATTTCTATAAAACTCCTTTCCCCCTTTTTTTTTCTCCTCACTCTGTATTACAACATGACTCTATTTACCAACTATTTTTTTTTAGCTCTTGTGCGAAAGGGCGAAAAAAAAATCACTCCATGGAGCTAACTTTTGGAAAAATGTCAACTCTCGCATGCTGTTGCGTTAAGGCAGTGGGGGGGAGGCCATCAAACACGTTTATAATTTTCGGCACTACGAATGCTCATGTGCATCATAAATATATATAATCTTATATATTATGCATTTATTTTTTTTTCGTACATTTTTTCGTATATTTTTTTTTTCATTTATTTTTTGGCAATATTTTTTCCGACTGCATATGCGGGGCGCCCTTCTCCGGCATAAGTATTTCAGCAGGGTCCAAGCGGCGTGCGCTTGAGGCGAATCAGTACATTCAGCCTACGTACGCCTGCGCGATGTCTCACGCATATGAAATGACCATACGGCAATATGCACACGTGATATATTTTTACTACATATATGATGTTTGAATAAATGCCCCTGCATGCTTATCCCTGAGCGTAGTGTAAAAGGAACTTTCGACTTTTTATTGGGGTATAGAGTGGGAGAGCCTTCCGCAACTCCATGTTAGCAGATATAATAGCAAACACTGCGCGGTGAAAAATAGAAATAAAAATAAAAATAAGAGACTCGAATCATCGAAGTTAAAATAATTACATGTATATCTACTACACATATGTAGCACGTTTTATATGCATCTTCTGCGGAGGATTTTTTGCCACCAGTTTTTTACATGGCGGCATCAAATGTACTGCTTTAATAAACATTTTTTTTTTTCTTCTTTTTCTCTTCTTTTTTTTCTCCTTTTTTTTTCTTCCCTTCCAGCTTCCCTCATATGTATATAATTATACATATTCGTCTCCGTTTGTGATTGGAACAGATATGGGTGATAAGCCTTGACGAATGTCTTTTTGCTACTTCGCTGCGCACCGTGAAGAAGCCAAGGTTTTGTATCACTTGGTGTTTTATTTATTTTTTTTTCTCCCTTGAGCTCTACCGCTGAGATTTTTTTTTAAATCGCAAGGCGGTGAACTCTGCATATTGCAAGGAGCCTTCTACGCATAACCGGAGTGCTTCCCTCTTTTCGAGGCAACGTGAAGAAGGCACGCAACCCCATCATAGAGGCGAAGAAAGGAAAGTGATCCTCGCTTCTGTAAAACGTTCTCCAAAATGAGCATAAGCAAAGAGTCATCCAAAACCATGATCGACATTGAGAAGAAGGCCGGAGAAGCCAAAGACGGTAAAGATGGATCCAAGCTGACGAAGAAGGAACAGTTGCTTTTTCCACTAACGTTCATCCTGATTGGTCTCAGTTCATTAAATGTATGGAACACAGCTTTGGGCTTAAATATAAATTTTAAATACAACACATTTCAGATAACCGGTTTAGTTTCTTCGTCCATTATAGCCCTTTTCGTCAAGGTGCCTAAGATGTTATTGCCGTTCACGTTAGGAGGGTTAGCCATCCTGTGTGCAGGGTTTCAAATAGCTCACCAATTTTTTACCTTCGAGCAGTTTGACACCTATTGCCTAATAGCTTTCATAGTCATAGGGATAAACGCAGGACTGGCCCAAACGATTGCATTCGGTGTTGGGACAACGATGAAAGAAAATATGAGTGGGTACATGTCAGCAGGAATTGGTATCTCAGGAGTGTTTATATTTATAATAAATTTGCTACTAGATCAGATTGTACCTGCCGAGAAGAAGTTTGGAGTAAATAAATCCAAGTTGCTATACCTCTACATCATTTGTGAAGTTTGTCTAGTGTTGGCTATCATATTTAGTGTGTGCAACTTGGAGCTCTCCCCTAGCGAAGTGTCCAAAGAGGAAGAATATAAGGGCAAGGACAAGGGCAAAAACAAGGAAGAAGGACTAACCTACTGGGAACTAATTAAAGATAGTTACAAAGCCATCTTAGCCATGTTTTTAGTAAACTGGCTCTCCCTACAATTATTTCCTGGTGTAGGACACAAAAAATGGCAAGAAAGTCACAACATCTCAGATTACCATGTTACCTTAATTGTGGGAATGTTTCAAGTCTTCGATTTTGTCAGTCGATACCCTCCAAATTTGAGTCATATGAAAATTTTTAAATGGTTCACCTTTTCCCTTAACAAGTTACTCATCCTTAACTTCCTTCGTCTTTTGTTTATTCCTTGGTTTGTTATCAATGCTGCTTCAAAGCGCCCCATCTTTACCAACATTGTCCAGCAGTGCATTTGTATGGCCATGTTCGCCTTCACCAATGGATGGTTCAATACAGTACCCTTTTTGGTCTTCGTTCAGGAGCTTAAAAAGGCTAAGAAGAAGAAAGACATCGAAACTATTTCCACTTTCCTCGTCATTGCTATGTTTGTCGGTTTGTTTATGGGAATCTGGACTACCTACATTTATAACTACTTCCCCATTGTTATCAAGAGACCTGTCGTCGTACCGTAAATGCGAAGTGCCTGAAGAAGCGTGGTGATGGTGAAGAGTAAGCCACTGCAGAGACGCACATCCAGTGTGAAGCAAATTTTGAAAGCGTCCGTCGCGTGGAAAAGAGGCGAATCGAAAAGATGTCCCCACAACATGGCACGTTGCACAAATGCGCCTACCAAACTGTCGCCCCATGCACTGCTTGCGATAATTAAACGAATTAACACACTGGCATATGTTTTGAAATTTATACCCCGCATGCATCCTCATATGACGCGTGCAAATCTCTGTAGAGATATACACCCTTTTATAATCCCCTTTTAACCTCTTTTTAATGCCTTTTTAACCCCTTTTTAACCTTTTTTTCTTTCCTACGCCTGCGTGCATGTACGTTTCCAAGCCCATAATTAAAAAAACAACCTTCACATGTTGCATATGTCTCCCTTCATAGCAAGTTACGATACCGTTGAAACTGACGTGTTTTTTTTTTTTTTTTTTAAATTATTGTTTCATAAAAGATTTATGTCGTTTCATTAGACTTCGCTTTGTATTGTTATAAAAAAAAAGACTTCACCACTAACGGTGTATGCATGTATGGTTACCCCCCCGGTGGAAACCTCTCCTAAGAAAGTCCTAGCGTGTTATGTTTCTCCTACATGGGTTTCTACAAATGCGCACTGTGCATAGGGCCTCGTGGCGCGACAGAATTGATGGAAAGGGGGCGAAGGATGCCTCCAAGAATGCGGAAAAGGTTGGCAGCGCGGCGCCTAAGGCAAAAAATGATACAGCACACAATGATCGCACGCGGAAATGCTTCGTCAGGTGTGCACACCCAGACTTCCTAAACGTGTAACGTCGATAGGCGTGAAATGTAGGCACATAATCCCGCAGCGACGCTCATCGTAGGTTATTAAAACGGAAAAAAAAAGAAGCAAATTGTATATGACCCCAGTGGATGGATAAATTTTCTCCCCTTTTTAGAAACGAAGAAAGCGTGGCGAGGTACATCTGGACAGTAGTAGCATCCACGTGGAAAAAAACGAAAAAAAAAGCAAAAAAATGGAAAGAAAAGCATGAAAGGCGCCCCTTCCCACCCCCGTTGCCTACTTCTCAACATACGAGGTTGTTCCCCAAGAGAGGATAAAAATATATATATATATTAGCAGAGCCCAACTCGCGCGGCACTATGTAAGTAGTACTTAATCTGCTCGTCGAGAAGGTCTATCCGATTGTATATCTCCTGATAAATATACTTCATTATGTCTATGTAGTTGCGTATTGTTTCGTCCTTCTCCTTGGTGCCTGAGGCAACAAGAGTCATATCCTTTTCCATCTTTGCGCGAAGAGAGGGTTCCGTCAAGTCCACCCCGATGTCCTTAAATTTCTTGTACGATAACACAAGAGCGATCCCCAAGTTGGTCGGAACAAACAAATTTTTCCTATCCTTAAAGACGTAATTCCTTTTCTGGATATTTTCTATATGTTCATGCATAGTCGCATCAGTACCTATTCCATATTTATCCATGAGGGAGAGTAAGTCACATTCAGAGAGGTACTGTGGAGGCTGTGTGATTCCTTCCTCTACTAACAAGCTGTAGGGATGGAACTCTTGGTTCACTTGAAATGGTGGAATAATTTTATCATTCCATTTTTCGTATATATAAATTTCTAGGTAATTTTTTTTTATAATTTTTAATCCTTTACAAAAGAATTCCTCCTTTCCAATGGTGGCCACCACTTTACTGTTAAATCCAATTGCATCATCGCTACATACAGCTAAGAAGTGTCTACAGATAAGTTCATAAATGATCCATTCCTTCTCTTCTACCTTTTCTGTCTTGTGCATATTTTTAACGGGGTGTATAGGTGGGTGTGCTTGATCATTTAGCTTCCCTTTTCTAGGCTCCTTAAAATTGTTCCCTTCCGATAATTTCTTGGCATAGGATCCGAAAACTTTATTTTTCTTCAGCTCGGATACAATGCTTCGTAAATTCATACTGCTGGGGAAGTAATTCGTTTCTGTTCTAGGATAGCTAATGAACCCTCTATTGTACAACTTCTCCGCGATATTCATGCACTGCTTGGAGGATATATGAAAGTGCCTCGACACCAATTTCGTCATTTGGAGAGTATTCAGCGGAAGGGGGCGGTACTTCTTCACTTCGTTTTCGTATATATTTGTTATCTTGCATAGAGGGTTCTTTAGCAGTTCTTCGTAAATGAGGACCACAGCCAGATGATCATACAACCTTAACCTGGACCAGGTAAAATCGACGATGGTATTCTGATTCGTGTTTTCCTTTTTCCTCTTCTTTTCTTTCTTCTGTGATTTTTTTTTTCTCCTCACTGAGGTACCCCCTCCTTCTGATTCATCACCTGATTTGCCTCCCCCCTCGTAAAAGTACTGCATCTTGATAGACCAGTAGTACTCCTTTACAAAATTTTTTATGTCCATATATCTGTTTACCACAAATCCCAAGGTGGGGAACTGGCAGGGGCCATAACTAATAATATTTGTCCCTGTCTTAATCAAATGGACATACCTGATGGTGAGGAACCTAGTAAAAATAGAACCCATCCTTAGATCAATTTCTCTGCGTACATCGACACTGTAAGCTAAATTTCGATTGGGATACTTCAAATTGTTAATGGCATGAATGATGTCTTTCTCTGTCACAGCTGAGAATTGGGCCCGCTTAATTCTTATCTGTCGGTTCATCACGAAACAGGTGTTTATCACTTCAAAGCAGATATGCTCTCCTTCTCTGTCACAATCTAGCCATAAAATTAGCAAGTTGCAAAACTTGGAGTACTTTTTTAAATTATTTTCTATTTTCTTCTTGTCATTTTCAACGTAGATAGTAATTTTTGCGTCGAACAACTCCTGTGGGTCTGTGTTGATCCAGTTTCGGTATTTGTCGTCAAACTTCTGCTCCGTTAAATGTCCAGTGACGGAGGTCACATACATAGACCACGTTTCGTTCTCCCTCTTGTAGTTGAAGGTGAACACTGGGTTGAATTTGCTGCAACTTTTTTTTTTTTCCATTTTTCCCTTGCTCAAAATGTCAGCGATTGACGACGCGACCGATGGCTTCTCCGCGACGTTCAAGACATTTATTCGAGCCATAAGGCTTGTGGAGCAAAGCGAAGCTGGGGCGAAAAAAACGACTGCCTGAAATGTAGCCGCTGAAATGTAGCCGCTGAAATGTAGTGGCTGAAATCGAGCGGCTGAAATGCCACCCCCTTGGTCATCGTGGGCGGATGGCCTTGCCACTGCGCAGCGGACAACTCAAACATAAGGGGTGTGTTGAATCGCGCAGCGATGCCATAGCGTGCCGTGTTTCCTTTTTTTTACACCTTCGTATATTTTACACATTTTCTCACTCATTTGACATTGTAGCCTTTTTCTTTTCTTTTTTTTTCTCTTCAGATTGAGCAGTCATGCGGCACTTCTTAGCCATCCCTTCGATCTTTATTCGTCAAACGAGGCGCAGTTCTTTTTTTTTTTTTTTTTTTCTTCTCACACATGAAGGATATATATATACGAATTGGGGGAAATTCAGGGTGATAAAAGTCACTGCCCCTTTGTGCAAATGCGAACCCGTAATCCCGCCCTCCATTTATTATCAACTTGTGGAAATTCCAAAAGAAGTTGCAAAAAAAAAAAAAAAAAAAAAGAAAAGAAGAACCATTTAATTTATTTCACTGTTGACGGGAGAAAAAGGGGTATTCCCCTTGGGCGCTCAGCTAAAGCGAAAGCACGCCACTTGGAAGCATCGCATGTAATGCCATTCTGGTGGAGGAAAAGAGGATGCGTAAAACATGTAACCCCCCTTCCCGTGTTACACAAATACCCCTTTCACTAATATGTTGCACAGACTGGTAAAAGGTGAAGCAGGCGTACGTGCGCTTCTCAGCTATGTAGGATGGAACTTTTCTGGAGTAGTATGACCAAAAATAAGAACATACCATTTTGTCCTCCATTGGGGGATAACGCAAAAGAAGCTTTTTTTCCATGTATGGAGGGGAAGTGCTAAAATCACTGCATACATGAGCGTAGATTGACCGGGTATTTTCGACGAAATAGTCTCCTTGCAGGATTCCTGCTCGTATGTTCACAAACATTCCCCACCTGCACACATTTTGGGCCCCTTCTCTTGTCACTACATATGTAAAGCGCCATTGCAAAACGGATTCCACACCGAAACTGACGAAGATATTCCAAAGGGGCACAAAAAAAACTGATCAGCCAAACGGGGATATATATTTCCACCAGCAACAACCCCACCATCGGGAAAATCTCCCGAATAGCGCCTATAGACAGGAAAAATGGGTTGCTAACATGCTATAGATATAAAAATAAGGGTAACTAAAATTTTGCAAACATTTAAAACGGTGACCTTGGAATTAACTCCTACATGTAATAGTCCCACATGGGGGTAAAGTCAATTTTTTTTTTTTTTTTTTTTTTTTGCCTGTCCCTTTGTATATATAAACACTGTGACATGTCAATTTAGGCGTGAAGATTTCCTTTTTTTTTTCAACACTCGAAGAGGCACCCCATCAGCCGGCAAAAAGGTGTTAAAAAAAAGAAAAAGCAGCTAAACAAAGTTGAGGAGTTTCCCCATTTGCACCTTCTTCAACAGGAAATTATCTCCACTATCTCGTTTTGCAGCATTTTTTTCTTTTTTTTTTTTTTTCCTTCCTCTACTGTCATAAAAAGTGTGAACATCTAAATGTGTCCTTCCCTACGCCAAAGCCAGACAGTTCCAAAGGCATTTCCTCCTTCACAGAGTACGCCACTTGGGGGGGGGTCTCTCGTCATGGGCAAGTTAAACAAGCATAATGTGATGTGGAGGCATCCAATAGAGGAATAAAAAAAGAAAAAGAAAACCGAATTTTCACTCTATTAGCTTAAATATGACAACTTTTTTTTTCATCCCCCTTCCAACGTACACGTATACGTACCATTGTCCACCCCATTTTTATCTTCCCCGCTCAATCGGCTTATCAACACGAAAGAGAAAACCGACGGGGTGAACACACTGTAGCAAAAGTGCCATAAAGGCAAAATCACATGTGTATATGGCACTTATATTGACCAAAAAAAAAAGAAAAAAAAACACATGGACACGTGTAGAAATGGCTATGTTAACAGGGACAAAACGATTCAGCCATTTTTACAGAGGGGGTGGATGGAAACTCCCACCATTACGGCATCCCTGCGCTTAACAAAAAAGGAAAAAAAAAAACCTCAAAAGGAAACAAAACTCTCACGCATTCTTGTGAACACGTACTTGTTTATCCCCAAAAATTGGAAAAAGAAAAATGCACACATACATGCCCATGTATATATACGCCGAAACGATAAGGTAAAGAAGCAGAAGAATCGCCTTTCTGCGCAAACGACGAACTTTTTGGAACCCACCCTCGCCACACCTCTACCCCGTAGACCATCACTCACACCCAATGAACGCCCAAAATAAGCCCCAAATCATTGAGCACATAAACCACCCCCTCGATGACACCGTCTACGATGTGAAATGGGTACACGGCAAGTCCGACATTCTCGGTGTCGGGGAAAAGCTAAATAAAAAGGGGTACATAAATGTGTATAATCTGAACAAGGGGAAGTTCACCTGCATTTCTGACCACGAAACGGACACAGGGGTAAAGACCATCAGCCCCTTTTTCTCCTACTCCGGAGGATACACCATTGCCTGCGGTAAGAAGTGAGCTACGGGAAACGTTTGGACTAGTGTGCGATGGGTACGTCCACTCGTGGGTACACCTCCCCATGCGCGCTTCTCTACACGGATACATCTTCCCATGCATCCTTCTCTACACGGATACATCTTCCCATGCGCGCCTCTCCTCCTCGGTGTGCCTTCCCATCTGTGTCACAACCACCTCACATAACTCATCTCCGCCAGGTACATTCGACGGAAAAATACTTCTGTACGATATTAACCGCATGTCCACCCCGTATTACACCATACACAAGCACACGAAACTCATAAACAAAGTAGAGTGTAAAAACTACAAAAACAATAATTTAGTTGTGAGTGCGAGTAGGGATGGATCTGTCAAAATATTCGACATAAGAACGGATAATGAAGTGAGCTATCTGAGGAAGAAAAAGGGGCCACGTTTCATTTTTTGGCTCTTTATTGATGGCTCCATTAGGATGGTCGCACACCGCATGCAGCATATCGCGTGATGCTTACCCCCACGTCCACGCTACGCCATCACTTGTGAAAACGCTCTATATATTATTCCTCCCCTTCCAAGGTTGTTAGTTTAGAGCCACCCAAGGACTCGGCTTACATCCCAGACTGTTGGTGTGTCGCGACAGGTGAGAGCTATTCGCTAAGTGCGTCCAAGAAGGGCATATCAATTCCTGTAAAGGTATAGGCTTATCTTAGCATAGGAATGTGCCTCCTCAAAGGGGCTAAGGTTCTCATTTTATGCTCCCTCCTCTACCCCTTTCCACTCCTTCAACAGGAAACAACTACATAGAAGTAAACGATCCCTTTGGGGGAGGCGAAGAAAACCTGAATTTATGTGCAGGATATGACAATGGGGACATCAAATTTTTCGACTTAAAAATGATGACAGTAGAACATGAAGTGCGCAACAGAGGGGCGAGCACTTTTTTCCGCCCTGGTCACGCACACGCAGACATATGTATATATATATATGTAAATAAACCGGTGTATCTTACCTCTGCATGTGTTCTCCTGTTTTTTGAAACAGTTTATCGCACCACATGTTTAGTGTATGTGTTTGCTCATGCGATGTAGTTACTCCCCCCCATTACCTAGTATAGCCAATTTTTTTTTTTTTTTTGCTTCTCCTCCCTTCTCGGCCAGGTCAACGTCAATAATGGCGTCTGCGCAGTGACCTACGACAGGAAAGACACGAAAAAGAACAAGTTAATTTCCTCCACCTTGGAAGGAAATATTTACATCTTCAACCTGGATGTGTACAGCGAAGATTTGGGATATGCCTACAGCAAGGACCAGATTGTTTCAGGTATGTTTTGTCGCGTAAAAAGTATGGCGACATCTGAAATGTAGCAGCACGTATACATGCCATCAGATGTGTCCCCAATAGATGAGTCAAAGGAACAGTCAATCCTCCCTTCCATCTGAGTCAAATTAACGAACGAGCGACCCCCTTAAACCCAGCACATCATAGTAAAACCCCCCCTGTGCAAAACTAAATCGTACATATTTCTTTTCCCTTTAAAGGAACATGTTGGGGAACCCCCTTTTTGCCACAGAATCGGGACATTTTTGCTTCCTTGGGAGGTGACGGAAATGTTAAAAGAGGGAGGATGCCGTGAATGAGCGGATAAAATTTGGTCAAAGGAAAACGGGAAAGCGCCACGAGAATGGGCATTGCTGAGAGGGCACACAATACCTCCAGTGATCATATATTCACGCGAGCGCCCATGTAAACAGGCAGTAAACAGGCGTGTGCACAAACATGTACCTCTTCACGCAACACGTGTGCACCCCCCCTTACCCCTCCGTAGCTGGTTCTCTATAAATATACGAACCCTGAGAAAAATTACATCTTTGACGAAACCAAGGGGTGCAAAAGGGGCGTTGTAGGGGAGTTGGAAAAATTAAATTTCCTCAAAGTGTCCACTCAACCCATAATTTCATTCGACTGGAATATGAACAAGTTGGGCCTCTGCGCCTTCGCGTCGTTGGATCAAACAATTAGGGTTTACATAATAACGAAGCTAAATTTGTGTTAATTTTGCAGCGCAATTAAAAAGTAAGGGGAGCAAAAGGGGAAAAGGAAAACGAAAAGAAGAACGAAAAAGGAAAAAAAAAAGAATAAAAAAAAATAATTAACAAAATTGTAAACAGAATTGTTCAAAGTGGGGGGGATAAATGGGGACATTCAAAATTTAGGGACAGCTGGCAAAGCTGACGCATTTTGCTTATTCGAAGCATGCGGATCACTCGGATAATTTCGACCACTTCGCCGAGCTAGCCGAGCTAACCCAGCTCGCCGCTTTTATGCCATTGATGAAGGAGTTAATTTTTGCGCAGGAGGGAACGCACACGAGGAATGCAGGGGGCGAAGCACCTGACTATGCCTCACCCCACGCCCTTTCCATGTGTCTTACATTTTAAAAAAATATTCAGTTATCTTTTTCTGATTGAATTTTTCGCCATTTAAACTGATGATATGAAAACGCAAATTCAACAAATTGTCGTAAAGAACTTCATGCTTTATCTTTTCATTAAGGCAGCTGTAATTTATAAAATTTAAAAGCACATCGATGCTGTTGATTAGCACATTTTTGTTGAAGTGGACGCTGTTGCTGCTGTTGGGCACGTTGGGGAAGGGATGATCCTTACCCATTTCCGCCTGTGCTACAAATGAGTTTTGATTCACACCTAGGTGGGTCGCCCCCAGATGGTTTGCACATATCGCGCCGCCGCACTCTTGATTCGCGGCCACCTGACCGGTGCATATATCGTTGCTCCTAATTTCGTTGCCGCCCACCCCGGCGAAGCCAACGTGATTTATGCTAAACTCGTTCACATAATTGGATAAGAAGTTGGCGTCGTAGTTTGGCGCATCCTCAAAGAGCTTCCTCTTTTTCTTTTCATTCTCCTCGAACATGACTGCCGCACTTCTATTCATTCTTTGGAGTTGCGTGACGCTTTGGTGCAGTCTATTTGGCGTAGTCTATTTGGTGCAGTCTATTTGGCGTAGTCTATTTGGTGCAGTCTATTTGGCGTAGTCTACTTGGTGCAGTCTATTTGGCGTAGTCTACTTGGTGCAGTCTACTTGGTGCAGTCTACTTGGTGCAGTCTATTTGGTGCAGTCTATTTTGGCGTAGTCAATATAGGCTCACCTCTCGCGCAAACGTTCCCTTTACCCCAATGAGCCGTATGTCTCCTCGCGCACAAAAAGAGGCCGCCAAAAGTTTATGTCTCGCTTTTTTCCAGTTGTATGTAAAAAACGTCTCGTAGATTCTTAACAATCGTTTGTTCACTCTCACAGGGCTATTTCTCTTTGTGCATACTCATCCCAAACACACATGCTTGTCACGTGTATGTGCCGTGCCTCAATGTATGTTCACCTTACCCTTTTTTTTTTTTTTTTCTTGTGAAGCGGCTGAGAGTGGGGTAAGTAAATATGTACCATGTCATGCGCAATATTGTGCCGCGAGTCTTCCGTTTATTTATCGATTTATCTGTGCAGTTCGCTTGATGTTTGAAAATGGGTGATTATTTCCCAATTGGCTAATTTCATTTTTTATTCCTTAATTTTTGGTTCACATTGCGACTTTTGCATTTCCTTATTTTTATCTCCATTCCATTCGTCATTGTTCCCACGTCTTCGCAATTGCGCTGCACCACTTTGTTTTTTCTCCGCACCTCCCTGTTTTTTTTTTTTTTTTTTTTTTTCACACTACCTGGCTATATTTTTGCTCACCTGTAGTATTCCTTCCCAATTATTTGTTAGTCAACGATACTGATGCTGTGCGTCGCCCCGTCCACTGGAGTTGCCGTGTACATGCCACACGTATAAAAACAATTCGCGTAAAAATGTGCCAGCGTGAAGAGGATATATATCTGTACGGAAGGAGTGTGGAAGCATATACTCACCCGCGATGAGAATTAATCCTTCCTTTTAAAAGTTGACGCAAAAAAAAAAAAAAAAAAACAAATGATCGTCATATTACTCCCACACCACCAACATGTGACAAAAAAAGGGAAACTCATTTTTAACCGAAAAACTGGGGGAAGTCTATAGGGGGGTTAAATTGCCCTCTTTTAAAGGGAACAAGAAATAGACACTATTAAATAGGAAAAAAAAAGAAAAAAAGGGGGAAAAAAAAACATCATGGTGATTTAAAAAAGATGAACTTACGCATAAACCGTTGTCCATTCGAATATCTGGGAGCGGTTTCCATTCTTTCCCCATTTGATCAGCGATCCAATTTGAACAGGAGCTCCTTCCGCACTAAGAAATTTTAAGGGAGGTTCCCATTGGCCAAGAAGCAAGGAGGCAAAAAGGTAGAAAGGCAAAACGCCAAAAAACCACAAAAAAGGGATAGGTACACCCGTAAAGGAACCGTTTTGGCGAGACCATTCATTCCGTCGTTATGCGAGAAATCCGCCGACACCTTAATGGGAGATGTTATGTGCTAAAGGAACAAACCGATATCACCGTTGTTCCCTCTTTCCGTCCGCCCCACCCGTCATCGCAGCTCCACCATTTGGTAAACTCTCCAATTAGGTAGTACCATTTTTGCGCAAGTGTGAAAAGGTCCCATCACTATAGCCTAGAGCCCTCTTGTCGACATCTCCCCGTGAGGCAAAAGAGGGACGCATTTGAAAAAGCATAAAGCACACTTCCCCACTACACACACCTATGCGAATGGTATGTTGTACCTTTTATGGTGATTCCCAAGTGGAAAAATTCGTCACTAATGAGGGCGCTTCTTTCAGTTGGGAAGGACCTCCTATTTGAGTACTTGTGTAGATGGGGGAAAATGGCCCACAAGATCAAAATTTCCGAGTGAAGAAATCTGGAGGGCACACCTCACCGTAAAGATCATTTCACAAAATGTGTGTGCTTGCATGTATGTACATTTGGAAAAGGGAACCGCATCCTCGCCAAAAGGGGATGTTCTTCTTTCCCAAAGGTGTCAACCTCGCACATGTTCCGCGCCGAATGCAACATCACAGGGGATCCCCGGCACTCAGCCACCTCCTACAGCGTCAGAGTGAGTCAAGGGCACAGGAAAAAAAAAGAGAAAAATACACACATATGCATACATATATATATATGTTTATTTGTATCTGATCATAACCGTTTGATCAGTGCAGCTTGCACACCCTGAACAGATGGAAAAAAAAAAATCATGTACACACGTGTACACTTATATCACCGCGAAAATGGCAGGACAGAAAAAAAAAATTAAAAATACTCCATTTTGCACAACGGCATATAAAAAGAAGGGGAACAAATTGCACTAGCGGTGACACACCCTACTGCTACGAATTCAGAGATAATCGAATTGGGTCCCCGTGCACACATAACGGGCTTCCTACATTTTCGCGTGCGCTGGAGAAGGCGTGCCAAATTAGCAAAAGGAGTCAAAAACGCTTCAAAGAAGGAGGAAGCACCGCCCAAGTTGGAAGAATTATAAACCCGTAAACCAGGCAGGATAAACCAAACGCGGAAAAGTGGCTAATCGAAGCAAAGGAACATACAATCCGTGCGTCGAAGGCAGAGATGACACCGCACAAGTATACAAAGGGTCCACACATAGAAATACTCCACAGATAGAAGGGCTCAACACATAGAAAGACTCCACACATAGAAAGGCTCCACACGTACAAACGGTCAACGCGACCTCTACGTGATTACCTATATATAAGACCACTAAACGGGAAGTGCACCCCAAGATGAAGACGCTAGTTCTTGCCACAGCGACCTATGGATTCCTACTGAAGGAATGTCTAAACAATGTAATACTTCCAACTGAGCATGTATGCGATTTCGCGTTCAATCCACATAGTAGCATCAAGCCCGTGTTGAAAGGACCAAATGAACAAGATGAAGAAGTTTGGTGCAGCGTACATAACCCAGGTTTCACAGACTACGTAGCAATGGTGTGTCCAAAAAAAAAAGCTGGAGACTACACCGAATTGGAAGATGTGCCAGCTACCTGTTTTACCAAACATCTATACTCTCCATATGATGCAGAAGCAAATGAAAAAGATATGCAACTCCTAGAATTAGATCAAACATTGTCCATAAACAAAACATTTAAAGATTTTGTATTAAAGATGCTGATCATCCCAGGGTATTATAAGCACAACAAAACAATATATTGTAGATGCGACAACAGGAAAACGAAGAAAGGTGAGGCACCTGGTAAAATAGAACAAGGAAAAGTAGGACTAGTAAAAATTGTCTTGAACAAAAAAAACAAGAAACCCAGGGGAATCGATTTTACCGATTCTGATGAGTTACATCAGACAGACATAGAGCAAGATGGGAATAAAAGAATAATTAAAGTCAAGGAAAATGATATTATTCATTTTAAGTTTAAGCCCACTCAAAAAGTGAAAATGACGCAAGACGAAAATCTTATTAACCTCAAGTATAGCATTCTACAAGATCGCCTTCTAAATCTCAGATTTCCTGCCGTGTTTTTATCTACAGAAAACTGTGTGATTACAGTTAGCGAAACAGCAAAACCAAATGTAGAAATTATTATGAAGTTGCAGAAAACAGAAAGTATAGATGGGTGTGATTTCACCAAATCGGCAGGGAAGGGAGATTATCAAGATGGGTTTGTCTTAGCAGATATTAAATCAAATGAAAAAATTTGTTCTGTACATATCGGATCCAGCAAGAAGAAAATTTCTGCAGGTATTAAGTGCCCCTATAAATTAACCCCTACCTACTGTTTTAGACACGTTTTACATGAAAAAGACGTCAACGGGGTGAAGTCTTATCACCCCTTCTTGTTAACCGATGTTTTGGGAACCCTCGATGTCGAGTTCTACAGCAATGCACAAGAGGGATCGTATCTAATCGGATTGCCAACCAGACCACAAAAATATTCTGTTGTGAGATGCGTTTGTGAGCATAATGGAAAGACTGGAATTATGGAACTCAGGATTGCCTCTTCTTCCGGATGGACTTTCCTCAGCCTCACCTTGATGCTTCTCCTCATCGCTCTTCTTTACGCGTGATAGGCATCACGCCACATTGGCCCTGCGAAATGGCGTCACTGTGCACCGAAACAAATAGGTACATGAGTTACCTCCAAAATCACGTGATCATCAGAGCAAATATGCTTCCCCGCAAAATGCATCGCTCCGCATGAAAAAGCTTCAATCCCGGAATATGCACTCGCGCGCATGTGCACAGGTGTCTGTAGACACACGAACAACGCAATGCCGAAATTTAGCCCCGCTGCCATGCGCCCCATTAGCCTATAACGTAGCAGCGAATTTTTGGCTCCATACCATGCGCCCCATTAGCCTATAACGTAGCAGCGAATTTTTGGCTCCATACCATGCGCCCCATTAGCCTATAACGTAGCAGCGAATTTTTGGCTCCATACCATGCGCCCCATTAGCCTATAACGTAGCAGCGAATTTTTGGCTCCATACCATGCGCCCCACACGCTTATAACGCCGCACCGATTTTTCTTCCTCCCCATGGAGAGTCAACCAAACCCCATGTTTGGGCAGAGTGAACACAGATGGTGCGCCTCTCCTGTAAGGAACAACCACGAATTGAAAGAAAAGATAAAATCAAAAAAATAAAAAAAAAAAGAAAAAAAAAATTGAACCCATCCCCCGATAGGAACATATCATAGGAGCATTCATCGTCATTTTTCGTAAGAACGATGCCCCCCTCCATCCCAGGTTCATCGTCCGTGCCTATTCTTCACCCATAATCGGCATAGCTAAAAATTGCTCCTCAAAATATGGCTAAAAGATAATAAAAAAAAAAAAAAGACATATTGGGGTAAAGAACTCCAATTCATCGGCTAAGCTCAGAAGAGAGACTTTTTCGCTTTGTGTCTATGCCTCATATTTTACACTGGTTCCTTTGAACTGTCTGCAAATTTTACTCACTTCAAAATGGGCGAACCCTCAAGTGTGCAACCGTTCCGTGCAGGGTACGCGTCAACAGGGAGGGTAGGTTTTTGCACAAGGTGCTTCCACGCAGAAGAAACGCCATGCCCAATGAGGAATTCCCTCTACACATCCCAAAGCGAAAGGTACAAATGGCGCAAGTAACACTTGCTGTGACGATTCTACGCCGAAAAAGGGACATACCCCCACACACAGACATACAGGCGTACATAAATACAGGCGTACATACATACAGGCGTACATACATACAGGCGTACATACATACAGGCGTACATACATACAGGCGTACATACATACAGGCGCACATACATACATGCGGGCATACATATACACACGCGCGAGGGGGACCCTCCACCTTCCTTTTCGATGCTGTAGATCCAGTTTTCTTCAGAAAAAAAAAAAAAACTTCGAATATATTCATAGCATGGTAAAGCAATTGCACATACATGTAAGCGCGGTAAAAATGCGGTAAAAATGGATTGAAAAAAAAAAAAAAAAAAAAAAAGCGGACATGTCCAGACATACAATCCGTACAGCAATGTTAGAAAGCGCTTACTGTGTAAAAACAGGAAAAAATTAGTGATGATACTATAAGACAGAGCTATATTGGCATGGGCACACATAACGTCCGCCTCTTCCCAACTAGGAGCAAATTTCCAAAAGTGACTTTTCCTCACCAATAGGGAAAAGAAGAAATGACGAATGGCTAAATGATCAATGACTAAATGACGAATGACAAAATTTTGAATAAACGCGAGCATGTGCAGTACGCCAACTCTCACGTGCGAACCTCTCCCACAATCCATATTGCTCATGTGAAAATTCACAAAGGGGCGTCTTTTTTTTTCATTTAAATTTTTTTCTTTTTTTTTTTTTTTAAATTACGCCCATCCCTACTTTCCATACATTGCGGGTGTGTACGTAACCCTTTCATGCCTTCGCTTCTTCAACAAATAACGTGAAAATAACGTTTTCGATGTGTGTATTTGCATTTGGGCGAACTTGATTCCACTTCTACAGCACACGCAATTGTAATAAATGTACCATACACATGACCACACTTTTAAGGGGCTCCGCCTTCTCTTCCCCCCTCATATAGATTGTACCAACAGAGGGAACACTTCCGTGTTTGAGCGCGCACGCCAAAAACGGGGCACGCAGATTAATCCCGCCAGCGTGACTCCACACCAGTAGACTGTTGGGCCCATCAATTAAAACCATCCCCGCGGCACCAACTGCATCACTTCGTCGAGTCATCTCCATCGTACCACCTCCACCGCGTCACCCTCATCGCTCCACCGCCATCGTCCACCACTCTACCTCTGCAACAATGTTGAAGCGCCAGTTAAGGAACCTGCTGCTTGTGCTGTCCCTGCTGCAAGCTATAACTCACATACAGATGACCAAAGAAGAGGTCACGTACGTCCCGACAGAGCAGATGAACAAGGACGTGTCCGGATTTTTCGGGTTCAAATGTAACTTCTCAAGTAAAGGGGTTCACAACTTAGAGCCCATGTTGACAGAGAAAAGATCCCTCGTCTGTAGCATCTATTCCTACTTCATTTATGACAAAATAAAGCTGACCATCCCGAAGAAGCTCGCCGGATCTAAATTTAAAATGTTACCAGAAAAATGCTTCGAAACAGTGTACACAAGTTATGAAAAAAGGACGGAGGAAAAAATTGAAAACATGGGCTTGGTTGAATACGAAGTGGAAGAAAATGATTCCCACGCAGAATACATAGAGAAAATCATCACAATATCTCCTTTCAACACAAAGGATGTGGAATTTTTCTGCATTTGCGACAACTCTGAAAATGTGATATCAAATGTGAAAGGAAGAGTCGCTCTGGTACAAGTCAACGTGTTAAAGTATCCTCACAAAATTACCTCCATCAACTTAACAAAGGATCCATATGCCTACTTGCCTAACCAGTTGACTAAAAACTCCTTCACATCGAATAAATTGGAATTAAAACTTGAAGAGGGGGAATTGGTTGTCTTGGCCTGCGAAAAAGTGGACGATAAGTGTTTCAAAAGGGGAAAAGATGCTTCTGCCCTTTCTCTATATAAGAGCAACAAAATTGTCTACCACAAAAAGCTTGCCATCTTTAAAGCACCCGTGTATGTAAAATCTGAGGATATCAGCGCAGAGTGTTCCTGCGAATTCGAAGACACCGCCTATACTGTGTCGTTAAAACCTCAGTATAATAAAAAACTCATTTATGGTTGCAATTTTTCTTCGGATAAGTCTAGTTACGAATTTACAAACAATGTCGACATGGCTGAACTAGGGGAAAATGCACAAATCACCTGCAACATAGAACTTGTGGATACTTCATATAATCACCTGATAGGAATGAGTTGTCCTGGACAAATTACACCAGAGTGCTTTTTTCAAGTGTATCAACCAGAGTCCCCTGAATTAGAGCCTTCCAAAAAGGTCTATCTAGATGCTCAACTAAACATCGGGAATGTAGAATATTTTCAGGAAAGCAAGGGAGACAATACGATTAAGATTTTTGGCCTCGTCGGAAGTATCCCCAAGACGACTTCCTTCACTTGCATTTGCCGAAAGGATAATAAAATTGGCTACATGACTGTTAAAATTGCCGGCGGTTACTTTGGCTTCCTGGCCAAGATCTTTATCCTCCTGATTGTCCTGCTGCTGCTGTACTTCTGAGGCGATACACGCGCATGATGTTTGCGGGAAAGCACATGCTGTTTGGGGGAAAGCACATACTGTTTGCGGGAAAGCATATGCTGTTTCCGGAAAAGTACATGACGTTTGGGGCAGACGGGAAAGAGACTAGCCACAAGCGGATATGGCCCCCCGGAAAAGGGGCACAAACCTGGCGACCGATACCGTGTACACTACACAACCTCCCCGTGGAACTGGAAGTTGCTAAGTGCACGCCAAGCGTGTGCACCTGTTTGTACATACACACACATGTGTTTTCCCATAGATGCCCAACTGTGATGAGAAAAAGGCGCGACTTCTACTTCATTTTATCATCCATCACGCTTTTTGTTCGCTGTGCAAAATTTCTCCGCTACGTCATCAAGTCTTCGAACTTCGTCACCCCATCGTCCCCCCCCTTTACTAGGTTTCTCTTTCATTTCCGCACTGCGAGCCCCCTACTTCGCAATTTACACGAATGGAAAATAGACTCCCCAATTCTGAAAACTCCAAAAAATATTTTTTTTTTTTCTTTTTTTTTTTTTTAATACATGTGCTTATTTAATTTCCTATCGAGAATGTGTGCATGCTTTCAACATCCTCTACCTCTACCCCCCCCCTTCTGCTGACACCACTTTAAGTTGACACGCATATATACTACACATGCGTTATTCGCGGCAGAACGGGATGTCCTTTTTCTCTTTGCTATTTTCTGCACCCCCAGAAGGTGAAAATTCCAAATCGTGGGTCACCACCTGGTCATAAAACGAAGTGGTTAATTCTTTGGCCTCCGCGTGGAACAAAAAAATGTGACCAAGTGCGGCAAAATGGGATAACAAGAAAAGTCGGATTTACCCCGCACACGTTACAGAGGAACAGCAAACGTTTGGTACAAATGAGTCGACCAACAGGTGCGCTCGGCCAAAGAGGCTACATTAGGCGTCGTCCTGTCATGCAGATTTTAACTTGTTTCTTTTTTTTTATGACTTCACGTGGGAAAGGAATTTTTTTTTTCTTTTTGTTGCTTAAACTGGGGGATTAATTTTCTTTTTTCTTTTGTCATCTCTAATTCGGAAGAGGAAATCCCCCAGTAGAGCCATTTTTCAAATTCCCTCAAGTCGTCTTCACTCCGAACTATTTCGCCCCACTCTTTGATTCCGCGCAAGGAAGGAGGGTATTTTTATTTCCCAAATGATTATCCCCTCTATAGAGGGCGTTTGGTTTTGCTGAGCTAAGGGAGCCACAGAGATAAGGAACACACTCGGATACGGGACACACCAAGGGGAAAGCTTAGGGCACATGGCTAGGCTCCCTCCGCTGTTCCCCTTCCTCCGGAACATCCGGAAGTTGTGCTTCCATCCCAGTGACCCAGTCCCCGCGTCAAGAAAATGCTGCCTGCACACGCATGTCCAACAGAACAATGGAATGATGAAGACCACCCCACCGGTAAGTAAACGAAGTTACTTTACATCCCTGTACGACACGAAAACTGAAAAAACAAGATTAATCAACCAAATGGATGATCTGTATGACCACATTTTAACGAGCAACTGGAACGACTCAGTACACCTTGTTCTGAATGTCTCCATTTGGGAAGGAATTCTACACTCCATAGAAGATAAGATAAAGCCATATGAGCAAGATGAAGATATCATAAAAAAAAAAAAAACAATAAACGAAATATTTGATGTTCTGTTCATATTAGAGGATTTGCGAGATCATGTCAATGAACTTTTGGAACAGTCATCACGTGCAAATGGATTGGCAGGGACATATATTTTGGCCTCCTTCAAAATAGAAAATATGAATGAGCACATCGAATTTTTGAAAACGAAATATGATGAGCTGCTGTTGCAGTACCCACTTTATAAGTACCAGATTGATATGGTCCTGGGGAAGGGGTTGGCTCTCCTACGGCAGAGAAACAACTTCGAGTGGAGGCACATGCACGATTTTTTCTTCTGACCTGTCGGGGGCGATCGGGGCTGCGTATGTGTGCACAGGAATTGGCAGAAGCTGGAGGGGAGTTGAGGGGGATTCACGTATAGACCCCCATGCAGTGTCGTATGATTCAAATAACCCCACTGTCACAGTATAGGAATTTCTCCCCCTACCCCACCAAGGAGATGCCACTATTTAAATTTTGACTTCACATAAGATGGTAAAACGGGTACAAGAATGGCACATTAGAATATCTCTCACCAAACAATGGCGGAAATTCAGGAGGCACAGGGTACACATCGCCGAGCGGCATCGGCTAGCACACACACAAATGAACAGAAATATACATATATATCCTCACGTGCACAAACAAAAAAAAAAAAGAGCATCCGTAATGGAGCGAAGGTACACACGGGTAACAAACAGCACACAAAGCAGCGCCTACTTCTGCCGCACCAATATGTAATTTTTCCTTTTCTGCTGCCCCGTTTTGGAGAAAATAATTTTCCGAGACATAGTGGGGAACATGAAAGCCAAGTTGTGCTTGTTAAACCCTATGACGTACGATAGAGGGTCGTCTGGATTCATCGCAAAAGATGGCGATTTATAATCCCGAACATATTTGAAGCACTCTAGGTTATCATCAGGAGGGGTACTTTGCGAATGGCTCACATTCTGCGTGACCGTATTGTCTCCCTCGCTATTTTCCCCTAGCTCTTCTTTTTTTCCCACGTATTTGTACTTATTTGTTTGGTTAAACGTCACACGCTTACTCCGATGTGTCAATTCAGCAGATTCGTCTCTTTCATTTTTTGACTTTGCAATCTTCTCTTCTTCCTCCTGCTGGTTCTTTACAAGGGGGGTCACCTTTTCACCCTTGGACAGTTTACTTTTTAACTTCTCTCTCATTTTTAACTTAAAGAGGTACTTTTTTATGAGAAATTTGCTGAGGCTGATTTTTTTTTTCGCTGCCGGGGTGTCGCTCGCTTGGTCCGGTACGTTCCCACCAAGAGCAGCACCGCCGATAGGCGTACCGACGGTAGCCAGGCCACCTTTAGCCGCACCATGGCCATCGCTAGCAGCTCTATCCGTAAGACTTCTATCCGCACTACCCCTAGCCGGACCTACCCCGCTGGACCGCCTCCGCATGGAACCATCCCTGCGCTGAAACTTATTTAGCATATACTCGTCGCAACCCATGTCCTGCGCCTTGTACAACCCGTACAGATGCTTATCGCGGGTCTTCTCTACCAAATGGAGTAACCCGAGCATACCGCGACTTTGCTTCTTCGGATCACTATTGGATGTGGCATTCCCCCCCTTGTTCAGCAATTTATTAGCGTCCTCCCCACCATTGCTCCTCATGTAGTCACCAGAATTTCCTATCTCCATGATGCCTTGTATATATTTATTATTCCACACAGCAATGTGCGGCAAAAGGGGGTAAATTTTCTTCACTTTGGTGCCTTTCTTTAGAGGATGTGGAAAATAACAATCGTATGGTACTTTCCTTTTCCCATATTTCAACATCAATTCGGAGGAGCCGTCATTGTTCTCCAGGGCGCCACTCTCATACCCCTTGCCACCCTGCTGATGCGCGTTCATTCCCATGGAGGAATTTTTTCCCTGCAGAAGATCCCTGTTTTTCCTCTCTTCACATTGCAGTAGGCTATTTCTCACCCTTCTAATGTAATGCGGAGCAACCCGATTGAGAAGCTCCAAATCGTCTTTGTCAAACGTATGGACAATCGGAGCAGACGAAGAAATTTGCTTCATGTCATCAGTTAGGTTGATGTACCTAGGCGTCCCTTCAATGTTTGCAATCTTTCGATTTTCAATCTCATTTTGTTCCTTTATCCAATTGCTTATATCATCATTATTTTGCATATTAAAAGAAAACATGAAAGGCAGATCCATGGGGATGTGTATGTTCCTCTCGACATCATTTAGCCTCTCAACCTTTTCATTTAACATCATAGTTGTGTAATTGAAATTTAAAATCTCATTGTCTACTTGATGTTTTAGAAACTTCACTCCCTCGTCAATGCTTGGTACGTCTAATACAAAATCAGTGCTTCCGCAGAACTTTTTGAATTTTACTTCATTCTGTTGGTTCCGTATTTTCTTCGCTTCTTCAATGTCTCTCAAATTGCTCCTTTGGCTTTTTCCATCCCGCACTCTTGGCTTGTGCCCTCTGGGCATATCCATCTGGTGAGCAGCCAGGTGATGTCAAAAGAAAGAAAAAAAAAAAGAAAGCGCTGTGGAGGGGCTGCTCATGAGGGAGCCTAAAAAATTATGCCTACGTTCTGTGTACCCTCATCTGTGACGCGCATCTAGGAGGGCATGTGCTCTGGGATTCAACCCTAACGGGTTTGTCACTCCTTCCACTACTCCACCTATCCTGCTACCCCTCGGGGATGGTAAGGCTGGTAATTTTACCGTGTTAACCAATGCGACGATCAGATAAAGCCAGTGTATGACCGCACACGCAAGTGATATCTAGCTTTACCCACCTTCCCACGGTTCAGTGGCAGGAAACGCCCCTTTTATCGCGTCGTCAAAAGGGCGACCACAAGATGGGGCTCACACGGAAGGATGCGCCAAATAAAAAAAAAAAATTTGACATTAAGGAATCAGTAAAATGTATCAAAAAAGAGTATAAAAGCCTCCTTCACTCACCAACCTGGTCAAATTGTTTATTACGAACTGAACCGTGCTCGGAAAAAGATGAATACCCCTTGTTAATGCGAAAAGAAAAAAAAGAGAAAAGAAAAAGAAGAGCCAAATTGATCCCCGAGGAGATGATCGCCCCAGTGATGCTTTCCCCACGGGTTGTTTTCACTCCACTCAACAATTTTTATGTAACGTTTCTATTTTCTACGCAACTGCTTTTTCTACACCTCTTGTTCGATTGGTTCTCCCTCCGCTTCAGTGTCAACCATTTTTTGTCCCGTGTTAACGTCTCCCTATCGTGAGTGCCCGTTAAGTTTTATCCCTCTATGGAGAAAATTTTGTAGGCGCGTGGCCCTTCCGCGAGGGCAAAAAAATCTTTTCTTTTTCCTCTTATCAGTTCTCACATTTCCGCTTCTTTTCAAAAGTTTCACCCAAAAGTGGGTATGGCAAAATGATGCTGGTGGGCGGCGCAGATGCAGGAGTGGAGGCTTGGCCAGATCATCGGCCCACGGAGCTCTGCTGCGCAAGGAAAAAGTGACCTACGCCGCGGAGCGAAAACTGCGGAGCGCAAACGGAGACACGTATAATGCGACACATAAACAGCGACACATAAAATGCGACACGCAGAATGCAACACGTAGAAGGGGACACACAAGACGCTAATTAAACTGCTAAACAAACCGCTAACCAAACCGCTAAACGCGCGGCGAGGAGGGCACGTCCCCCAGGATGATGGTCGAATTGATGGAGCTCCTGGAGCTGTGCAGCTCGCGGTAAATCTTATTTATCAAAAGCGCGTTGTTGCAGGGAATTTTGTACACGAGATTGCTGGAGTTCCCTGTGCGGATTATCACCCCGTGGCTGGAGGCCCTTATTTCGGAGATGTCCTCAATCCTGAGGGACCAAATGACGATGTCGCCCCCTCCGAGGTTCTTCTTCTCCGTCAGAAATTCGCCACTCTTACTACCAACAAACATGCTGGCATACAAATTGGCATAAATAATAACCTTCGGATATAGAAGCAGAGAATAATGTGCAGGGGGGTGATTCTCCTGTTTATGTATGGTCAAGCATTTCATAATATTTTTTGAAAATTTCAACCCTAGACATTCCCTCAATTCAGCTTCATTCAGATTGTACTCTTTTATTTTTCCATATTCTCCCCATAACATTCTTGGCTTCCTATGTCTCTTAATTTTATACTTAAGTCCTCCAATCGGTTTTGACACCTCAGCTTTTATACCTCTCGTAACATCGGATACGGCTTGGCCTACTTTATCTAGCGGCTTGACCAACGATCCAGCTACCCCTTTGCCTATCCCTTTGAAGAATCCACCCACTCCTTCCTTCTGGGCACCCTCAATTGGTTTCGTCACAATGTTGGATAAGCTTAGCACCCCTTCCCCAATGTTCTTCACAGCACTTAGGAGACCCTCTTTCATGTTCGTATTTGTCTTAAAGTTCCTTTCCTTCTGTCTCCTGTTAATATACTCGGCATCGAAGGTCAAATTGGAGAGGAAGCTTCCAATACCCACACTTACGTTATCCACAGCGTAAACGGCTAGCCCTATGGTATTCCTTCCAATTTCCAGGGGAATCTTCGGTATGTTAATCAGGCTGCTATATCCCACTATGAACCCTAGGCATGCTAAAATAGAATGGCTGTACTTATCCTTCAATAGCGCATAAAATGACTTCAAGCTAACACGGATGTTATTGAAGATCTCCTGATTCAGCGTGACGGGTGCACCTAGCAATTCTAACTTCCCCGACACCATCAATATTCGTAAACCGATTCTCAGCAAATCACTCATCATGTGCATCTTGTCTAGTAGAAAGGAGCACCAGACGATCAGAGTAAACTTATCAATTTGCATGTATTGTATGTTTATGGCTAAGGGGATATCTGGTGACCTGTAATTCACATAGACGGGTAGAATAGTCCACTTTTGGATCTCCTCATAGAGCAGGTTCTTCTTCTGCACGACGCTTATGCCTTCGATGTACTCTGCTATGAGCAGATTAATTCCATTTAACGTTTCGGCGTCCATTTCGATTTCCACGTCGTCTAAAGAGACCTGTATCTTCTTGAAAATCACGTCCTTATGAGAGATGAAAGATCTCTCCACATAGATGTTTAAAAATATTTTCTCATCATTTGTGTTCATGCCTTTTCCAATTATTCCTGGTCCGCTCTCCGTAGGCCTCTTACTGATTATATCGCTGTTTGTGAAATGGGCTCGACCCTCACCACCGATGCCACTGCTACTATTGTTCCGACCGTATAGCTCGTCCATCTCGCTCATGTAACTTCCCTTTCGGCCTACTCCCCCACCGCCGATCCCAATGGCGTGACCTCCCTCGGGGTGATGACCATACGCATTTTTAATTCTCTTCAATTCTTTTTCGCTGTTCCCTGCAGAAGCCCCTCCTGATGTGGATGCTGTCTCACCGCTTTTACCATTGTTCGTGCTTATGCCTCGGTTCGCCAAAAGAACGCACTTCTCACAGGACTCCAGCTGGCAGTCCACCTGCACGTCCGTAATTTTTATGTCAATAACTTCTTCCTCGTTCTTCATATAAAACAGGGCACACAGCTTCGACAGCTCGATGAAGAAAACCTCTTCCTTCAGGATATTCGATATAATGCTTACCCCTATCTGCGTCACGTTGATAATTACGTGCACATTTTTGTACGTGTTGCTGATCATCTTCACGGCTTCTTCCCCCTCCCGTCTGCCCACGCGGTGGTAGTAGTTCCCATAGCAGCCGCCATACCCATTCACATGCCCCTGGTGGCCGCTTCCACCTCCGCCTTCGCCTCCCTCTGCTTCTTCCCCCCAGTCCTCCTCCGCACCATGCTTTACATAGTTATATTCGCTGTGGCCAATCATCATCCTCTTTTGAACATAGCTACTGCCAATGCCGCTTTTTGTGGGGCTTTTCGCGATGCCCCTTTCGTGGCCACTTCTCTCCCTCAACTGGTACCCCCCCTCGGCGAGTTCTATCTTGTGGTACTCTTGCATGTCCAGCGAATTTTTAGAAACTCTTCGACCATCACGGGAGTTATAAGCATACGAGGTGGTGACTCCAAATGGTCCCCTTCCTTGAGGTACCCCCCGAGGGAGGTTAATTCGGTGAGTCAACCTAATCGTTATCAAGTCTTGGATGTACTCTATGGAGACGATAAAAATCACGTCACGATAATACACCTGAAATGACTTTTGCGCGTAATTATACTGAGCGAATTTCAATATGAAGGGGGTCGTCCTGGGGATGACGTTCATGTCGTGAAGTACGATCTCTATCTGTACATGTCGTGTAACATAAATGAAGGGATTGACCCAGCCGAGGTAACTAGATTGTTCATACTCGATGTTAAAATAATGTTCCATGTCAGCTGTGCTTAGGAAGTTTTTTAAGAACATATTTTTTTCAAACCTTTCAAATGTATAATTCTCTTCTTCATCCACTTTCAGGTGTTTCGTGTCATCGTGGAAGGTCCGTATTTTCAACCATTTTGCCAAGCTGGAATAGTTATAGGCAATAAATCCTTTGTTCATATTATTGTCTAGCTTTTCGATTATTATATTTTTCGTACCCATGTCCGGGATGCATGTAATTACGTATACTTCCGATTTTTCCTCCTTCACACAACTGTTGCTCACTACCATGTAGTTTGTCCCCACGAAGTTTTCACTCGGAAATATGACAGACGACCAAAATGGGTTCTGGCTGATCTTGTACTGCTGGGAGGGGAGCGACACGTAGTCCTCCCTCTTCCTATCGGCATGGCCATCGACGCAGCCACCACGACTATTAACGCCACTGTTAACGCCATCGTCATCTCCAATAACAGCGCCCACCCCAGTGCCATGGCCCTCCCTCACTCCCTCCAGCGCCTTAAACCGGAAGAGCAAAATATTCTGATTCTTCGGGAAGTACAACGGAGAGGTGTCATTCGGCCGAACCCCCTGGATCTTATCCGTCTGAAACTGCTTCACCAGGATGGGGTGATTCAGCCTATTGCTAATGATAAACTGAGGAACCACAGTGATTATTCGGCTAATAATATAAGGTATATTCGTCGTCTTAATCTTTTCCGTGTTCAGACAAAAGGTGTAAAAGAAATTCTTGCACACCACGCTCGTCTCGGTGTAGCTACCAATCGGGGGTAATGTCGCCTTGAATAATATCAGCGAGTTGTCAACGGGACAGGGATAATTAAAATCATTGAAAATGTCACTGTAGTCGTTAAAGGTCTCTGCCCCCCCGACTTCGTAACTGCGAACCCCACTTCGGCTCGACCGTAAAAATTCATTATGATACGTCTTATGCGGTAATAGCAAATCAATTTGTGAATTATCTCCTAACAGAGTTATGCCGTTTATAATGGGGTAGTATTTATTAGAGTTGATTGCCTTAATACCCAGACCTGTTCTGTCAATAAAACATCGGGGTAGCGAAAAGATATAGAGCTGCTTATTCCCCAGGATGCTACTCAACGAGTTGAAATATCCACTGAAGTTTTTTATTAACTCCACTTCTACAGAAGCGAATCGTTTAAAATTTAGAGAAAATCTCATAACGGACTCTTCGTCATCCTCCAAGAGGAATAGCTTGTCAGACCATTCACATTGCGAGTTTCCAATTTTCACCTTCATGTTCAGGCAGCTATACTTTTTAATTTCATAAATGTAAAAGATGGAAAATGGATTCAATCTCTTATTAACATATCCTTTATTTGACGTGGAGGTGGACAGCTCCTTTTTCTTCACTTTTATCTCCTCATCGATGTTACTTATTTCCTTTTCCAATCGCTTCAACTCGTATAGGTACACCCGTTCGTTGTTCTGTCCGCCCTTTACCCCAAGATAGTCATTCGCGTAGCTACTGCTCGACCCATCGCCACTCCCAGCGATAATCCTTGCAGTTTCTTCGGCCACTGTAGCACTTGTGAGGCCTGCACAACTACCGCCAGAACTGACCTGTTTGACAGACGCGAGTTTGCTCAGGTACGCATTTATCTCTTCGCACTGTCTCAACAACTTCACCTTTTTGTTTTTTAAAACCTCGATTTTGCCCTTCTCTTCATACACGTAATCATTCTGTTTCTCCTCCGAAATTTCGGAGGTGATTATGATGTCTACCAGCGCAGGAATGGCGTTCACTACAGTTACATGGGGGTATATAGTGATAATTTTCAAATTCTTCTCTGCAGGCAGGGCACTTATTTTATTCTCAATTTTTACTATAAAGTAAAGGTAATTATTGCTATCCTTAATTTTGCACTTCTGCACGTATGTCCCTTGGTTAATGTCCGAGCTGAAAATGTCTGACCATCCCTTTTCGCTGCTAATAGAAGAGGTGTCCATCAGTTCGTTTGCCCCATTCTTGAAAGATGACTCATAGGCCATATAGCTCTCCCCCCCTGGGGAAGAAGTACACCCTTCCTTTCCCAGCCTATCCAACTGATTATTTCTACTCAAAGCTGCCATCCCACGAGCAGAGGAGGTGATTTCTTTGCCACCTCTTCCTCTGGAAACGTCTCCTTTACCCCTCGAACTGACCACTTCGTAGTACGCGTTCTCCTCGCTTACCAGATTTATCGGCTTGAAGGACAGATACACATGCGATGGGCCACAAAACGCACACTCAGGGGTGGACAACAAATACTCATGATTCAAGATGACCGTGAAACTTAAATTATTATTCTTCTGACGCAATTTTATATTCGGGTTTATATTCAAACTGTTTGACACTTTGTAATTCTTAAACGAATCGCTGTGATTTGGGTAGAGCGTGCTAATCGGTATGGTCCTATTCTCCAGAGAGGTCAACAAGATGGGGTTTCTCCCTCCATCGAAGAAACAAAACTCCAGGGGAATGCCACACTTGTTTACAATCCGAACAGTTGATGACATGAAGAATATTTTGTAATTCGGCATGGGAGATATTATTTCGCACACTGTCTCTGTGAGCGAGGTTTGCGGAAGGTAATCATTCTTCAGTCGGTACTTGCAGGCTAGGTTGGTCTGCTTATCCAACTCTTCATTCAACATTTCCCACTTGCTTGGCTTCTCCACACTTGGCTTATCCATACCTGGATTCTTCATCATTGGGTCGTCCTTCCCGCGAACCGCTGCGCTTATGTCACCCTGGGGAAGGGTCCTGCTCCCCACACCGCTGCCATACACCTCATCGAAAATATAATCCACTGGCTTCACCAGGTGAATCACGTTGCTGCTATTCAGCGATGTGGTCAGAGTCGTGCAGCTGTTTTTGATCAAATTTATAATGACGCATTCGCAGTTCTTCAGAAATGGGCCTACGAATTTGTTCGAGGCAAAAATGGAATTTCCCATTTCTTTCCTCCTTTGGCTGTACTTAAAGTAGTGGCTTCCATTGGAGCTATTTCTGCTATCCACCGAGTGTGCCTCCTCCACCTCGTCTTCACTGCACCCTTCGGAAGTACCCTCCTCATCGTCAAGGAGTTCCTCCTCTTGTGCCTCCCCCTCCAGGGATAAATCATCATTCGAAGTGAACAAATCGTCATTCCTCAAATGGGCTGAGGATTCGCGACCCAATTGCTCCATTTCGTCCGCCCCGATGTGGGTGCCCTCGATCACTTTTTCTATCATCCCCCTTTCATCCGTAACAGGGTTTGCGTTATAGTTGCTACTGTCGTAACTGCTTTGTTCCCCGCTATGGAATATAGTCGCCTTGCAATTGGAGTTGCAATTGGGATCGTTTGGCCTGCCCTTGGCGGTACTCTCCCCACCACCTCTGCTTGCATCCTTCTCGTCCCCTCTCCTTTGGCTGTACCTCAGCAAATTCTGGATAGTCTTCTTCGGATTCCTCGTTATCATCAGATCCAGCACTATGTCTCTTTTGCTGATATCGGCAAACATATCATGTATAAGGTTCACCACGTTTGTGGGGGGAATCGGGATGAGGTACAGATACAGGTACTTCTTCTCTATCAAGGAGTTGTTCGCGATCTCATTGACAAGCAGCCGATCTAGGGAGACCAGCTTGTTGGTGGTTACAATTTTGGCATACAGCTCGGGGGAAGTTTTTTCCGCCTCGGAATCGCACGTGGAATCGTTAGCGTCGCTTTCTTCACTGTGATAATTAGCCTTCTTAACCCTATCATGGGTGTTTCCACTGCCCATCGTGGTGTGCAATGCGATCTTGGAGAATGCCTCGGCGAGGTTTGTTGTTCCCTCCTTCTGCTTCGTATCCTGCTTCGTATTCTTCATCTGCTTTTGCTTCTGCGCCCCCCCCGTGGGAATCCCCCCCTCGTGCACAATTCGATAACCTCTCCCCTTGGAATCAACACAGGGGCGCTTCTTCTTCACGTCTTCCACGGTACTCTCGGGCATCACGAAGGTGTAAAAAAAATCGCTCGTCAAGTTGACATAATAAACAACGGAATTGTCCTTCATACAATCGTAACTGTTTCGATTTTCCTCCTTCTTCAGGAAGTCATCCAAATGAAAATCATTCTCGTTTCTCGGATCAATATCACCAGGAAGTGATTCAAAAACGGACGAGCAATCTTCATAAATGTTCTTATGATTAGGCCCAAGTTTTTTCTCATCTAGCTCAATGGAAACGCTCTCACAATTGTTGTTAAAAAGGGACAAATGAGACCCCTGGTTTTCTTCCTTCTCGAGTGTGTAGCTCGGCATACATCGGGTGTTTTCCTTTTTCTCCAGCCCCTTAAGTACCTTCTCTGTAAACACAGGAAGAAAGAGAAGCAGCAGGTTAACTAACTGCGGCGTTATATTAAACCATAAAGCGTTTGCACTATTTATCTTTATTATGCTGATAGGAGATTTGGTCGACTCGGTGTCGTCACTAATAGCTTCATTTGGTAGTATCTTGTGGATGTCCAACGAGATGTTACACTTCTCCAAAAAGGGTTCCCAGTCTCCAATGCAGTTATTAAAATACTCTACTTTTGAATTCAAATCGTTTATAGTGTAGGAACATTCATCTGTGTAAAAATTCAGACATATGCTCATACTCATGATCGTCCTGATTATTGGCACGATTGAATTTCTTATATCGTCGATGAAGGTGCACTTCACCTTGTGCAGATTTATTACTATCTTGATGTCTCGATAGGTAGTTCCCTGTTCATTGCCGCTAGTCAAATCGGATTCTGACTCATTTTGCATTGCACATTTACTGGAGGAGAATATCCTGCTGGTTGTGTACGACTCCGAGGTGGAAGAGTCGGAGTATATCGTCAAATTGGAGTCCATTGAAATTTCCGACAAAGCGTTATACGAAAATGATTCAATCAGGTTATTGCTGGACTCGGATAGGTCTACCTCGCGTTTCTGCTTCTTCCTTGTAAGGAGCGTTTTTTCCTCCTTAAGGGGGTTTATTCCCAGTTGGAGCTTCTCCTCCGATGCGATATACCCCTCCTGCTTCATATTTTTCCCCCCATTGGTAAGGTCAGCCCGAACAGCCACCGTTCTTCCTCTTTCCCTTTTTCTTTTCCCCCATTTCAGCTTATTTATGTTCATAATCTGCAGGGCCTGGGCGGGGCTCTGGTCGTCATCTCGCGCGCTTCTCCCAGTCACAGCATCTTCCGCATCGTCCGCACCTTCCACACGTCCCCCTCCTTCCGCCTCGCCATCTCGCACCCCCTTCATCACAAAATAAATGTTATTCCTCATAAATTTGTTCTTTATCTTCGTGTGAATAAACGTCACCGGCGGGATTACCACACCCACGGAGATGTTGGTGTAAGAGCTGGGCACATCGCCGAACAGGGTGGACGAGGCCGTCAGTAAAATCTCCACGTCGTCATTCGACAGTCGTATGTCGAAATTTCCAATGTGAATGTTGACCTCAAAAACGGAGATAACCTGGGGATAATCCTTCTTCCTCACGTTCCCTTTTAAAATATAATTCTCCTTCTTCGTGTCGACTGATTCGTATAGCGCTTCCCCCTTAACATTTAAATTATCACACAGTAGAATTTTTTTCTTGTGATAATTGTGCAGTGGGTTAGACACATCCTTGGGGCCTTCTCCGTCCATACCCCTCGTCGCGTTCATCCTCCTCTTCCTCCTACTCACATCGCTAGGAAAACTACTGACATAGTTAATTCGCTTTATTTTACTATTTAAGGCGTATATTTTCCTAAATATTATGCACTTGTTTAAAAGAGAGAAGGAGAAGACGAAGTTATTTGACCACATCAAGATCGGATGAGCCACATGCTCTAGATCCGTGAAGACAATAAAATTGCCATTGTTTACTTTGAAGCTTATGTGAATGGGTTTATTGTCCAATTTGAGAATTTCATTTATATTGATTATCGTCTGATTTTTCTCATTCCCCATGAGCTCTCTGATAAACTTTAATCGACTAGAATTCATGCTGCTTCCTCTCGATATATTTTTTCCCCCATTCGTCGCATTTTGACCCTCTCCTTTGTCTGCGTCTTCTTGTTTTTCTTCCTTTGTTCCCCCAACTGGGGAAATGTTCTCCTGCTTGCCACGGCGTCTGCTTCCCCCTTCCTGACTTTTCGCCTTCGATTTAAAAACATTTCCCTCTATCCTGACATTCTCCACAGCATACTTTTCCGCATTCTTGCCACTCCTGTTTGCTTCTTCCGGGTGGGTTTCCCTCTTATCCTCTTTCAAATCATGTCTGTTCTTTCCTAGACTGGCAACATCATTCTGAGAAGGGTCATAGGCCCCGGAAACTTTCTTCCCCCTTCTCTTCCTTGGTGGCTCCTTCGCCGTAACGATGTAAGGAGATGGCTTCGGATACAGATGTTGTGTGCTCATATTGAAAGCGCTAGACAGGAATTTATATATATCCAGAAAAATGATAAAGAAGCAGCAGATGTACGCATCATCCAATTCTATGCTTAGGATGAGATCCTCTATAAAGGAATTGATTCTTATCTTTATGCCCTTTTGCCTTTTCTTCTTTTTTTCCTCACTCAGAAATACGTTGTTCTCGAACATGTACCGCAGCAGGGCTCTGTAGTCCTTCGCAGCTGCGTGGGGAGGTGTGCAGCGATCCACCGTGGGGTAGCTGCTTCCCACTACCGAGTTGCTTCCAACCACTGCGTTGCTTCCCAACACAGAGCTGTTTCCTACCACTGGGTGGCTTCCCGCCGCAGCGCTGCTGCTCATGTTGTTCTCCTCGTTCAGATTCGAAACGCACGAGTTGCTATTCACCGATATGCTAGTGTTCTTAATCAGAGATAACTTAGCCTCGGCATTCTCCCTCAGAAAATTCCCTGTCATCTTTTCCTCATAATATTTTCCCCCCTTCTTCCTCATCCCCCTCTTTGCTTCGTTCTCGATGCAGCAGTATGCCACTCGCTTGTAGTAGTTAATGGAGTTCTTTCTCACATCATCAATGTAGAGGGAGTTACTATAAAGGTCGAAAAAATAGATATAGTAAAAATCCAGGAGAACTAGGTCAAACGAGATGCTTATATTTTGGAACGTTATTATAGCTACTGGGGTGTTTCTGTCAAAGGAGGTTTTAATCCTTAGGCTCTCCAGATTTATGTACACGTATAGCTTCATCCCGTTCTTCTTCACCGGTTCACTCGCGACCGAGTTTCGCGGCCCCCTGGGGCTACTCAAACCGTTTTCCTCGTTCGTCTCATTCGTCTCTTTCGCGTCTTTCGTCCGGTTAGTCTCGTTAGTTTCGCTAGTCTTGTTCGCCTCGTTCGTCTCGTTCACCTCTTTCACCCCCTTTACCCCCCTCTGCGCCGCTTCCCCCCCGCGGAGAACACTCAGGTTCCCTAAATTGATGTTCCCCTTGCGGAACCACTCGCTATTCAAGATGCTGTCTATGTTCACGCCCCTATCACAAATGAAGCACATAGGGAAGTAGCCCTTGTAGCAAAAGTTCTCATTAATAATGTCTAACAGAAAGGCCAACTGAAATACAGTCAAATCCAGGCCAAAATCGTTCCCATTGAAGTAAATGAAAACACCATCCTGGCTACTGACTAGGCATAATCCTATGTTGACTTTTTGTAGAATGTTCCCTTCTATGTTGATACTTCCCCCATTTTCACAGGCGCGACATTTCATGTCTATCAAATCTACATAGAGGGTAAAATCGTATTTCGCGCCGACGCTTGTTGTATAGGCATCTTTTTCCACTTCCTCATTTTCTGTTGCCTCATCTTCGGTCGAGATGCTGCCTTTATCGGTGTTGTGGACACCCATTTGACCCTTTCCTGGGGTAGATCTTGCCTGGATGGTTGCTTTCGCCTGTCTTGCTTGCCTTTTCCTCCTCTTCCTCCTCCTCTTGCGAAGCTCTCTTCTCTGATTTGCGACGATCCCTTGGGTGTAATTCATCGTGTACGAATTCTTAAATTTTAAGGTGCCCAAATGGAATTTCAAATACGATTCGATGTACGGGATGGAGTTCCCCCCTTGGTTGGTACTCCCACTCTGATTCATGCTCGCCTTGGAGCAGTTGGACACGTTCTTAACCTCCCCGCGATAATTATATATTATATTTTTATCCTCCGGAATGATAACAACGGGATCCAAGATGGTGCAATGGAAGAGAAAATACTTCGCCTGAGCTACCTGTACGACCTTCTTGTACGATTTACTTATAAACACGTTTAAAATGCCGTCATCTAGGTACTCCAGAAATAACTTCAAATCGCGTAAGTAAAAAATGTAGTATATACTGGATATTTGGCAGAGCAAACACATGTTGTAATTCCTTGTGTCTTTGTATACCTTAATTTTTCCAACAAATAAATCCTGCCTTTTCTGTTTGTTTGATTTTTTTTTTTTTTTTATTTCCTCAGATAGATTATCCACACTGATGTAGTTTAAAATGTCTTTACTGTTTCGTCTCTCCGACATAGTCTTCACATTCTCCCCTTTGCTATCCTCACTTGGTTTGACCTTCTCAAAATCGGTTGCGCCAAACCTTTTGCTCCTCCTCGAAATGAACAAATCATACGTATAATCATTTATATTGTTCGAAATGATATTTTTGCTATTCATCGATATGATGCCCTTCTCGATGTTTACGAACATTTTTTGGTCAAAGGTTAAGTACACCTTATTTTCGTAATATATGCTGCTCACTTGAATTTTTGAGAAGATCTTCCTCTTTTGCCAGAAGGCTAGCGAGGCACTCTTGATGTAGCAATTGAATAAGTACTTCACGTAGGAGTTCTTCTGCCCGTGCAGCTTCGGTAGGGTGTTATTCAACCCATTGCTAAGGATATCCCCCTCGGAATGGTCACCACGTTGTGCTGCACAGCTCTGTGCGACACTGCTTTCTCCGGCTGCACTTTGTGTACTCCTTCCAGCCATATGCTCATCTTTTCCCATACCTTCCAGGAGGTTTCCCCCCCTGGGGTGTATTGGCGCTTGCCTCATCGGAACGCTTCCCGCATGTGTGCCAACACCTGGATAAGCGGTTTTATTCTGCTCCAACTGCTGTTCCAACTCCTCATTGTCCCTCTTGGCAGAATCTATGTCCAAAATATTCAAAGAATTCTTCACATTATTTAGGGTCTCCTGAACACTCCTTAGAGTGTGTTCCGAAATGAACATCTTATAATTTTTTAACTCCTCATTCTTTAACTTATTTTTGATATATTTCATGTCCTTCTCAATTCCGTATTGAAGCTTCTTCTTGTATTCCTTCATCGTTTTGAATATCTGCTTAATCGTTTTGTACTTCCAGTGCAACTCGATATCGCTGATGATCAAATTCACGTGCATATTGTCCCTGTTGATTTCGTCTTGATTCTGCAGAATTTGCAGATTTATAGACAGCTGCTTCTCTTCGATGGCGTCCATGAAGTCGTCACCATCGTCATCATCGTCGCTGTCTTCGCCATCGTCGCAGCTGGCGTCTACATCGAAGCTAACGTCCTCGTCCATCTCACCCTCCGCGTGGCCAACTTTCAAAGCCGCTCCCCCCTTGTTAGGGCTACTTCGGTTCGAACCTGTCCTCACTTGCCCACATTTATCCAGTCCATCATTGGTGGGACATACCTTCCCCTGGCTCGGAAAACCACTCTCCATAAAATCCTCCATTCTTTGAGCCGACAGAAATCGATCTATGCCCCCCGAGCCGTTCTCCTCATTACTGACATCTCTACTCATGGTATTGTCCCCCCCCCTGCGGCTGCCATGAAGTTTATCACTGGTTGCAGCCCCACTGGGCAGAGTCCCCAAATTGGTGCCCTCCCCTCCTGGCGACGGCGACGGTGGTGACGGCTGTAAGGGCTGTAATGGTGGTGGTGGTAAGATCCCCACCTGAACGACGCCCCCATTAACCATCGCATTCTGCTTCTTCTCCAAATAAGTCGACAACGACCGGAAGAGAAAAATATCCTTCGAATTCACATTCTTCGTTAGGGTAAAAAAAATTGGCTGCCTATTACTCGGGTCACAAATCCACAGCTGCTCTATTTCAACCTTGACAATTTTCTTCTTTCTCTGCAGGTAATTCTTGTATGATATTCCGCAGGCCTCGTATTTCAGCACTTCCCTGTTTTTCCCATTTTTAATGGAGAAGGCTGAATTTTTAATTAAAAAGTCGATATCGTAGAGAAAGGATCCTTCCTCCGGTTTGTTAATTTGGTTCACATCAGTCAGGTTGGCCTTCGACTCATCGTCATTCGGAGCATCAACAAGGACAGGGCTACTCTCCTCTTTGGAAGCTTCTTCCGCGGAAGGTATCTTCAAGGAGATATTTCCTTCCTCCTTGAAAGAAGAAATTATCTTCTTCTCCACTGGAGTCTTCTTTCTACCTTTGAGAGAGTCCTTTTCTTTTTTATTTTTTGAGTAGAATCGAGTTAAATACCTCGTTATGGAGGTCGGCACAGCCAATATGATGCTCACTGCGTCTGGATTTATTTGGAAAAAAATGCCATCCAAAATAATGTTCGTCTTCAAAATTTTGAAGTCATATTCCACGTACACCTTTACAGGGATGGGCTGCAGTATGTAGAACTTCTCACTCTTCTGGGTCTTTTCCTTTATGCGGTGGCAGTAGCTGTCCTTCAGATGGGTTTCCTCAACGGGGGGGTTATTCCCCTCCTCCTGCTGCTGTTCCTCCGGCTCTTCCTCCCGCTGCACATTTGGAGTCTCCCTTCTCACGGGGGGCAATCCATTAACCAAGTCCACCTTCGTACGCCTCACATCCACGCCATTTTTACCCATCCACGTGCCCCCACCCCCCTGCAAAGACGCCTTCAGGCACGTTATCTGCGTTTCGTTGAATTCGAAAATCAAGTTAAATTTGTGGTACGTGCAAGGGCACTCCGTCTTGGCGATCAGATTACCCAGGTGCAATTCGACAATGCCGTTGGTTAAATTGTCAAAGTGCAATATTGGGCCACATATATGAATGTAAAATTCGAAGAGCTCCGGCAAATGCTGAACTGCTCTATTGTATACATTTTCTCCCTTCTCTTTCAGCCCCTCTATCAATTCCGTCTGCTCCATCTTCTTGATGTGCAGCAGCGCCTCGTCGTCTTCTTCGTCATCATCCGACGTGTCCGCCTGACCGTCGCCCGCGGCGCACCTAGGAGTCTCTCCGGCGGGGGGTTCTCCGTTGAGCGGTTCCCCGTGAAGCTCTTCACTGGGGAGCCTTTCACTGGGGAGCTGTTCAGTAGGGAAATCTTCTGTGAGAAGCTGTTCCCTCTGGGGCGCCTCGGCCGCAGCGTCGCCCACAAAGGAGCCCTTCCCCTTTCCCCTCCGCAAAACCGACTTGTGCTTCTTATTAACGATATCTATCAGGGGGAAGGCAAAAGACAGGATGTTCTTAATAAGTAACGGAGACACGTACAGCTCCAGCGGATTCAACCTTAACAAAGTGGACAGAGTGTTCCCCTTTTCAGTCACTAAGTGGTTTATCTCCACATAGGCACACAAACTCTGGCTATGTAGCAAAGAATAATAAATTGGATTCTGGTAAAGGCTATTTCCTCCACTGCTAACATTGTAGGGGAATAAATTCTTATTCGTCCTAAACTCCATAAAAACTTTACTCTTATGCTTTGCTACGAAATTTTGTAACTCGATTATGAACTTCCATTGGAAGTTATCATTATCGTTGTGGTCCACCACGGACTGTAACGACAGGGAAGAATATATTTGGTAAAAATTTATCGAGAGTATGTTAATTTCTTCATACTTTATCCTCTTCTTGATATAGTTACTGTTGGAGGCGCTCATAGATGGGGAGCTATTCATCAGACTGTTTTCACTTCCGCTGAGAGATATTTCCTCACTCAGGTGGTCTCCAAAATTGTTGCTATCGCATTTTTTGGAAGGGTCCTCTCCCAATAGGTTGCTCATTGGATTGGAAATTCCTTCCGTTAGTCTACCATCAGTTGGGCTTCCATCAATAGGGTACACATTAGCGTTAATTCTTCCCCTTTCTGCTAACTGGCCTTGCTCAGGCAGGACCCGTCTTTTTCTCCCCTTCTTACAATCATCATACACGTTAATGGAAAAATTTGCCAATTTGAACTGAAAATCATATTTGGTTGGAAGGACCACATCGTAACTATCCTCGTTTGTCATAGCTTCCTGCAGAATGTACAACTCCTTCTCATTTATAATGTCTTGCTCACTATTTAAAATACTCTGCACCTTATTTTCAATGTCCTTCTTATTACCAGTCACCCAGGACCACCAGGACTGCTGCTTATATATAGAGTCGTAGAGATATTTTTTTTTCAAATTCTTCTCTTCAATTATTTTTTCCAATGTGTTTTTACAATGCAATCTCCACTTGGCTAGATGACGTACCCCAACGACATCGTACAAAATTTGCAACCGGTTCATCTCCTGGGAGGTTAACTCCGTCGTTGCTATGTTGTACTTCTCTGCAAGAACTTTATTGTACAGAGTCATAAATTCATTTTTGGTCTCATTCCGCAGAGATTCTATGTCTAGCTTAACCGTACAGGCATACTTTAGCAGCAGCTTGTTCGTCTGATTCCTGGACTTATTGGCTTCATTCATTATTTCGATAATTTTTGTAATTTGCGTCCTAGTTAGCGTAATTCCTTCCCACTTTTCCCCTATTTCTAGCTTGGCCTTCAGCTCCTTTTTGTTACTGGACTGCTCCACTGGCAGCACCAAGTCGAACGGCTTTATCAGATACTCAAAGTTGTAGTAGTTTAAAATTTTGTTCTCGTCATCTTTCAAGAAGTTGCTAATCTGGGTTAGCGTTCTCTTCAAATAGTTGTCCTTACTATCACCATTGTGATCTTCTTCTTCGTTGTCACTACCTAACTTGGACTCAAACGTCAGGTCCTCGTTCTTGTCGTAACTAAAGGACAAATTGTCCATCATCTTGGACGAACGGTCCAAATTGTCTACTCTGCCGCTGGCATCATTTGCTTCATCTTCGTCGTCGGAGAGGGATAACCTATTCTTCAGGTCTTCCCTTTGGTCCTTATCAGGGTCGTCCCTCGTTAGCAAATCGGACGAGCCGCTCGCGCTGGTCGCCTCCCGCTTGGGGGGCCCCTCAGAGATATTTCGGCACTTCTGACCGCTTCGATCCCTTTTACCTCCTGTTTTCCCCTTTTGCCCCTTCTTCCTCCTCCTGCGCTTTTTCCTTATATTACTGTTGCTGTAGATACACAACCCCTTGAACTCGATTATGTGATTTAACTTATACTCCTCATTCGCATTTGCACTCGCATTTGCGCCCGAACTGCCAGCGTCCGCCGCGTTTTCGTCCTTCACAAGACAATTCTTGACGGAGGAAGACTTGAGGATAAATCCGATGGAAAAATTCCTCTCAGGGTCTTCAAAATGAATTAAAATGTCCTGAATATCTACATGGATATTGTTAATAATTTTATTTAACAATTTAAATATAAGTGTGGACTTTTCCGATGACTTCTCTTTATTTTTCTGTTGTTTAATGAGGGAAATTTCTTCCTCCAACAGTTCCAGTCTATGTATTTTGGCTCTTCTCAACTCTTCGATGATCACATCTTCGCTTTTTTTGTAGCTTCTTGGTTTTATATATATGTGCACATTTTTAATGAGCACACATACGGGACTCTTCCCTAACTTACTCCATGGTATCTGTATATTTATTCTTCCTATGTTACCATGGATTATCTTAAAAGATAGATCTAATATTTCGGTTATCTGCGGCTTAAGTTTCAGGTTCTCTAAAACTATGTTGCCTGACCATACCCCCAAGTGTAAGTTCCTCTCAATCCCCTCGACGTATGGCGCGAGGAATTTATTCAGTAGCTTCTCAACTAATGACTCCAACATTTTTATCTCGTGTAGAGCCTCTACGTGGGTGGTTTCCTCCCCTCCCTTCTGCTGCTTCTACTCCCGTTTACCACTCGTTTTGAGAAAGTTGTAATTTACAGGGAGTGTGAAGAGTATCTCCTGTAAATTCAATCATGAAGCGGAAGCACACGGGGAGAAAAAGCGATCATCGCTTGGCATAATATCTTATTGTTTACAATTATTTGTAAACTTTAACGCAAGCTTTTGCTTCATTTCTTATATTATTATATTTAATTTTATTTATTTTTTTAATTCTTTCCTGTTTGTAATATCATTCTCCTAGGACCATGGGTGATAAAATCACATTTTATAATATATCTCCTCCCTTGAGGGATATATATATCTTCGAAAAATATCACAGTTCTACTAAACTGCTCATTCTAAATATGCACAAGTGGCTCACAAAAAAAATGATTATATGGTCATAATAATTACACGAAGCAAAGTATACACAGTGAAGGGCTGTAAATCGAGAAATGCCGATTTTGTTGGCTGCTATGTAGAAAAAGTTCCTTCACATGTGCCACGTGTATATGAATATGCATATACGTGTATCAACACATGTGCAACAGAAATGAAATAAAAACCTTTTTTTATAATTAATAAATTCCTTGCACTGAAAAGAAGGAAGCGGTAGGATGAATTCATGTTCCTTGGTTATGTGCCCTCTCATGTGTATATTTGCGTTTTTAAGCACATTCTTTTTTACATTTTCCGCTCATATAAAATTTTTGCAAAACGTGTTGCACAAGAATTCCTGCTTTTTTCCACTGTTACATATAAGGGCACCCAGAATAGGCTCCTTTTCCGCAACACTTACGCGCAAGTATGTACAATTGCATGGGGGGACATACACATACAGAAATAGAAAGCGAACGTCCGAACAAAGGGACATCCAACGCTGAAAACATACACTGAGTGTTTTTTTGTGCTTGCATATACCCCGCCCTTTGTCTGCGGTGTAGTCATCAAACAGCTATTTACTTTATAATCAGTGTCAAAGTTGAAAAAAAAAAGTTGCCAACTGTTAAGGTTAAATGAGAAGAAGTGACCTTCTTTTCTTTTTTTTACAGAACAAGTCATACATTCTGTGCATTTTTAAGCGAAATTTTTTTTTTCTTTTTTTTATAACTTCAAATTTTAGCTTTTTCTTTCATTTTTACATGAAGAGGCCACACATTCTGCGCTTTTTATGTAACTGCAAATTGGGGTTTCCCTTTTCAAAGACAACCGTCTGTCCCACATTTTCCAACAAATTCGTATATCCTTTTTGCTACCTTGAGAAAGGACCGAGTAAATAGTGTTCATAAAGGAAGCAAAATGACTGGTTATTTTAACTCCCCTTTGCCATTCGAAAGAATTGATACAGATGAGAGGGTAAAATCAAATTGAGGAAAACGGGATAAAAGCCTTCTCGACGAAGGAGGCGTATTGCATACCCATAAAAATAGGACTTCGTAAACCCATCAGACAAACACATAATTCGATGTGCGTACGAATAAGAAAGGCCCCCTTCATGATCTTTGTTACATGCTGACATGAAATACACGGTGGTTAAGTTGGCAAAGGTATTCTCTCAAAAAGCAGGCGAACGGATAGGAGGTATTAAGATGAAGCGAAATGGACGAATCAGTTTGGTCAAACAAGATATGCCTTTCACCCGTACATTTAAATTTCCACTGCTCCCCTATATTCCTTACATTGGAAAATTTACCACATGAAAACAGTCAATGCTTACCATTTTTTTTTTTTGTTGTTGCTACGAATCGGACACACCAAACAGGCTCGTAAAGTGTTCTCTCCCATCGTCTTCCCAATTGTCACGAAACGAAGTGGCAAGAAAGGGGCACCCTGATTTTTCCGCACACCCAAGCACCTTTTCTTCCTGGGTTAACCATACCGTGCAAAGCTGTGAACAACGGCGAACGAGTGGAACTCACACGGAAAAATAAATAACACGGTAAAATAATTAGCTAATGCTTTTTTTTAAAAAGCTTCATTATTTTTTTTCTTCTTTTGTTCAATTAATATATAAACCACATAACTTTATTAATAAATAAAACATGTCGAATGATAAAAAGAATTTAATCTAGCGTTAAGAAATTAATAACACAGGAGAAATTTGTAAATTTAAACATTAATTGGAAAAAATAAAAAGATAAGAAAATAAAGAAATAAAAAAATGATAACCATATTCGTAATAACACTTGAGAACATTGGAAACAGAATGATATATGCCCACGTAAACAGTTAAAAATACACACACATATATAATTACTTAATTAAGCTACATAGCAACAATTACAAACGATTCGCAACAGTAGCACTAATACACCTTATCTCGATAAAGGGGTCGTGGTGGGAGGATTATACTCATTTAAAAATAACTGCGCTTTTAAATGAGGAAAGGACCATTTAAAAAGAAATATATATAACATAATACGATACAATGTGATACAATCTAATATAATGTGACATAATGCGATATAATTGGATATAATGTAAAATGCGATTTTTCACGTGACATTACACATACAGGTGCATATAACAAAACGTTTATTCAGAAGTCTAGGCAAAGAATAAATGCTTAAGACGAGGGTCTCGGGAACCATGCCATGCGAAAATGGGAGGCTGGAATATGCGGTATGAGGCATGCGACACGGGATGCGCTGCATACGGTGTGGTATGTGTGCCAGCGCGATAAGCTGTAGGTAGTTTTCGATGTTCGGTGCGTGGTATGCGATACGAGATATACTGCAGGCAATAGGACTTGGACATATGACATATGCTTTGCGCTATACGCGACATGCGAAGTGCAGATTCGTGGTGAAGAAAAATATATAATAACTACTTCGCTACAACCGTTTAGTTATTTAATTTCTCTTTTCAAATCTTTTGTTGTTCCACGTAGGCGTTTCATAGTAATTCCTGCGGTAGGACGATCTGAATCTATCTCCGCCTCGACCTGCCCTATCTGCGAAGGGGGGAAAAACAGTTCAATGTTGGAGCGTCAAAGAACAGAAGGGATAGCCAAATGACTACTCATTCAGGAGAGTGGACGGGATGTCCCAACATTAGTGGCGGAAAAATGAAGGGAAGTACTTCCCCCATATGCTCCATTATGTGCGTGAAAAAAAAAAAACTCACATTTTCGTCTGTAGGACTTTTCCTTCAGTATCTGATCAGGTGTCATGACATTAACGTCCTTATCATCTAAAGGTGCTTGGTAGCCTATTTCCTTTGTGTCCACATTTGTATCATTTTTTGTTAAAATGATTTTTATGCAAGGGACGGTGGTTCTGAATTCAATTATTCTATTTTCCGTTTCCTTATTCTTGTCGTTTTCTTGACTCGCTTCGGCTTCTCCTTCTCCGTACTTTTTCTCTTCCTCCTCCTTCTGCCCCTCCTCTTTGTCATCGTCCTTTGCGGCAAGTGGGTCTTCTCTGCAAAGGGGGGCAAAAATTGGGGTACGTTTGCATGTTGACTAGACTTGCAACATAATTTTATGCGCATTTGCGCCTTAAATGGGCGAAAAGTGCCTGACTAGTAAAGCTAGCTGACTAGTAAAACTGCCTGACAGGGAAGGCGATCACGGGAAATATGCAGTGCGCGGAAACGCTCTCTATATATCTCTATGTACGCTCTCCCATCATGCCTACCTCTTGATGGTGTGCTCCTTCTCGTAAATCTTGGTACACTGGTGTAGTCCCTTCGCCCTCCTCTTTACCATCTCCGCCACGTTCACCACCGAGGTGATGGCCTTGCCAACGCCAGACAGAATCACGTCATCGTACGTTTCAAACAGGACAACTGCTTTGTAGACGTAATCTAGAGCATCACTCTTGTAGCTTACTCGGATTTCGTTCTCTAATTTGGTGTCGATTTTCGTGCTACCGGGCATGTTGGAGTACGTGGTGGACGGCGAGTTTGCGAACGGAAATATATATGCAGATGGGCGGATGAGTAGAGGGGGTATTATCTGCAGGTATGCAAATTGGCGCTGTGTGGCGGAGAGAGTCAACCAAAACGAAAGAAAAAATCAGTCAGACTTCAACTATGCGTGAAAAAAAAAAAAAAAGCCGCACCAATCTGGAAATGTAGACTACGCATGGGGGCTCGCAGATGGAACGATAAATAAAATGGGGTAAACAAAAATCTGGAGAGTAACTCTTAAACTAAATATACCGAGCACGCGTTAGAAAAAAGTGAAATGTATGTAAATGCATAAATGGGGATAAAACTGTTAAAAAAAATTGCATCCAATGATTTTTCTCTTGAAAAGGATAAATTCTTTTCTGGCATGCACGGGGAGAGAGACAACAAGCAAATTGACAAATCGTGGAATCAGCGAAATGGGTAAGGGGCTTGTAAAACTAAACAGATAAAAGGGCAAAAGATGAGTGGGAAAAAGATAAATGGTTAATTATCAAATTGGCAAATTGGCAAATTATCAAATTATCAAATTGACAAAGTGGCAAACTGACAAATAAACCTCCAAATGATCAGGCAAAAACGGGAAAAATAAAAAACAATCGAGAAATTAATTTTTGAAAAATTTAATCTAAACTATAATAATATAATAAAACATGTTGTTTGATAAAAAATCGGGAAAAAAAAAAAAAATATATATTTCTATATATTTTTCTCCCTTTTTTATATCGTTGCATGTAGTAAAAACTCCAGAAAATACGGAGCCATGTATTATTATTATCTCTACATGGGACTTTCTTTCCAAGACTTGAGTGGACGCTTTTTTTTATTATATTTTCCGCATGTATTTCGCGCAGTTTTGTATCATTCGCATCATTTTTCATACCTTCTGCTGCATACAACACTTTGTATACCACATTGCTACCTTTTTGTAATTTTTTTTTTGTTGTTCTCAGCGCCTTTTTTTCGCGGTTTCTATTTTTATCGCCTTTTTTTTTGTCGTTTTTTTTATCCACCCGCGCATTCGTCACCACCGGTTTCACCGCTGTTTCGTTTCGCTTGGTTTTCGCCTCCGCTGTTATTTCATCTTTTAAAAGTGGCAAAACAATTTTTTCTATAATATTAATTGCCCTTTGCGGAGTTCACTCCCCCGGTTATCATTTTTTCCCAATGGAACGAAAAATACTCAAATGTAGATCCGCTGTGGTTTTATGTAATGACGAGGCAAAAAGTGGCCATGCTCGCAATTTTATTTTTCATCTTTTGGAAGTAGTTAAAAGTAACTGAGTTATTACAACGGGATACAGAAAAAAAAAAAAAAATTTAGAGCTACGTATGCACGCCTCATCTGGAACGAGCATTACGCGTTTATACATACAAGGAAATATACTTATTACGTATGTTACTGTAGGCAACTGTACATTTCCTGTAACCAGGTTTCTCAGCCCCAATCCGTTTTGCATACTCAGAAAAAAGATCGTCACACTCAGAGAGATGAAGTGGACAGAAGGAGCGATCATCCCTGTGCTATGACACAATGGAACGATGGTACAATTAGGCTTCTATCCATGTGTTCACCAAATGACAAATAAAAATCTGCCAAGCAGGGAACGCCCGCGTGTCCTCTTCGTTTAAAAGAATTCTCAAACCTCGCATAGCTCAAAGGGTGACATAGAAAATGGAATAAAAAGGCCTATGCCCCCCCAGGTTTTGTAAAAAAATTCCGCGCGAAGAACACAAATAATGATAGCGCGCCCTACGGATGTACTTAGGCAAATGGCAAGTTTGACTCCCTTTTTGAGGGGCAAACGAAAAAGCGGGAATCCATGCCATTCTTTTTACTAACCGTTTGCATGCCTCAGGGATTGGCCACTGGATTGCCGGTCGGATCAGCTGAGAAGTGACGCCCCTTCTCATTGGCACCCTTTTCCCATCTGCCACATTCTTCCAAGGTGCCATTTCGATGGACGCTCATTTTTCCAAATGGGGTTTCCATCGATAATTCCCCTCTGCGCGAAACAAAAAGTGCGTTAAGGCCATATGTGACCAAAGTTTACCCTATTAACGCGTAAAAAGCGTCGAATTATAAACTGTCTGATGTGTCAGCAGGCAACCCTTCCCTGAAGAGCCCTGTCCGATGTACCTCCGCAGTGGAAAAATTCTCCTTTGCTGTAGTGAAATAACCATTTTATGGCCGTATGCTTTTGTGTTTTAAAATAATTCCTCCCTCCAAATCGGAATAGCGCTTTGACATATGTACCTATTCGTACATGTACACACGTGCGTAGGGATATACTAGCCGTCCATTTATCAATTCGCCCCTGGCGTTTTGTCGCCCCTTCTGGCTTTTAAAGAAAAAGCTGGAAAAAGAAACTGACCCACGCGGAGCGCCTATCTGTAGTAATGCCTCCCAGGGGGATACGCTCGTGTGAACCACGTGAAAACAAAACACACCAGGGAGAGATCATCCTTCTTGAAGGTGCTTCAACGAGGAAAGGAACCTTCAACCCAAATTTTTATTAACACGAATTGGACGCATCTAAGGGGTCATATCCAACTACCCAAGGGATAGTTTTATCTGCATATAACTCGACACATGTGTATATACGTGGATACGTGTGAGGTGAACACCCGTAGGCGCAGGGACACTCAAAGGGGTTTCCTTCTATTGGCGCCTAACTGTTCTGTACTCCACGATGTAAATTTCTCCAGTAGAAATTGCTATCCCTTTGAGGTGACATAAACTGATCACACAGAAATTACCAGTGTGTGGTAGATGGCTATAGGAAGAAGCACCTGCCCAGAGATTTCTTTTTTTTTTTTCTTTTTCTTTTTTGCTGAACTGGGCTTCTAACCGTCCAAGTGGACAAGAAGGAGGCACGCGAAACAAAGCGGCTATACCCATGAGATGGGGACACATAAACATCATCGTCGTTCTGGTTGCTCGTCCAACCTTCCACTCAACGTAACAGTTTCATAGAGGGCTCCATATGTGTGCAGTACGGCAAAGCTTCTTCCCGGAACGCATGTCCAAGGAAAACTGTTTGGGCCACAATTCAATGTCACTGCCCCATCAAAAGCGACATATATATGTAGCGAGAAAGGATGTCCCCATCTGGGAATTATTAAAGGCAAAACTACTGAGCAACATTGAGAACGCGTTAGTCTCATTTGCTAAACATTTGAGATCTCTCCCGAATGTTGCAGAGGTGGCAGTTTTGTCAGACGAGGGAGACGTCCAGACCTGCTCAACTATGGTTGGGCAGTCCTTGTGGACATACGAGAAGAGGTACCACTCGCATGAGCGCTCAGTTTTGCTAGAACATCTCAGTACATTCATGCATGTACAAATGTATGCATGTAATTTTACGCTTTAGTGAATATACTCAGTCGATTCCGCTCAGCCGACTGAATGTAACGCGCGCCCCAATTTTGTGCAGCCCCAAAAAAAAAGAAGCAAAAGGGGCTAGCTTTATTCCCTTCCTCTCGAAGTTATTTTATTATCAGAAAGAGAAAAAAATCCATCGCTTCATTTTTTCTACATATCTTTCAACATCAGCCCCGCGAATTTGACAAAACGAGTAAACAGAAGAGGCCAAGAAAAGCAGAGCAAACCACAATTGATGGAAGTTTCTTTTTTTTTCTTTTTGGGGGGAGAAAAAAACGATAGTTCCATTTTTGCACAAGGGGGAGGGGGAGACCTTCCTTCGGAAAGGATTTTCTCGGCAATTGGAGCGCGCACCACAAAAAGGCTAATCGGATAATCAGCCACTCGGATAAGAGGCCAATCGGCTAGGAGGCCAACCGCCTAACCAGCCAACCATCTGCCTACCCAACCAGCTGCCAATCCAACCCGCCACACCACTCCCCCCATGGCTGAGGAGCTGCGGGAGAACCACTTCTTCAACAGGTTCATCAAAATGAACATCCCGGACGACTACCTGGACGCGTCTCGCTTTAGAATAATCCCAGACAACCAAGAAGTATACGTCCATAAGTTCGAGGACAAATGTGTGATCATAGAAGTTGTGTGCTTTCAAAATGTGAATATACAGGAGAAGGGCAAATTCTACTTCTACGATTTAGCCAAAGAAAATGACAGTGAAGAAAGTGTTATCATAACGAGTAACCATTCCGTGTCTCATCCGCAAGGAAGTTACATTCTCCTAGTTGGCCGACAGAAAATTAAAAAACAGAACTCTCCTCAGTATGAACCTATTTTACTATACATTTGTATTTTCCCCATTGAGCAGCACAATGCAGATGTACTAATAACTTGGAATGTACCAAAACAGGACATGGACATTCACCCCGAGTTTAACACTTTTAACGAAATGGTGCAGTCCTTCAGAATACTAGACTACAGTTTATTTGTTTGATCTATGCCTTTTCGCAACCTGTACAGTGGGTAGCGCCTGCTGAGGGTGTCCTATTCGGTGTGCCCCCTACACGTGCTTACGGCGTCTTATTTGATGTGCCCCCTATGCGTGCTCTTTATGGAGTCGCCTAGAAAATGCCCTCCTTTGCTCTGTAGAGGCTTTGTACATTGCAGTTGTGGCGGCTTAATGAGGAAGCTCATTCGGGCCTCCATTCGGTGCGCCCTCACGGTGCCGCTTACACTGTCGCTTACTGCGCGCGGTTCACATTTCCAAGCGGACCCAGTCACCAGTTCATGTCCGTTGAGTTTGCCCCTTGTCAGCCTCAGACCAGAGCGACTGCACCTGGTGAAGAGCGCGAACAGCTGCACCCATTTTAATATACAATTTTTTTTTTACAGATTTTTTTTTTCCTCTGCTTTTGCGTTATTCTTAGTTTGATAAAATATATTCAAATATTTCAAAAGGGTATGAAATGTGGAGATGGGATGAAAGAGGCGTGGTGGGACGATGAGAGAAGCAAGGTAAACAGATAGAGAGAGTAAAAAGCGCGGTGGGTTATTTTAATCCCTTTTTTTCTTTTTCCTCTACGCAGTGATGTAAAAAGGGGGGGAAAATATACACGTGGAGGAGGATGACTCTGATGAGGGTAAATCTCCCTACAAAGGGGTGAGGGGGTTAACTATAGGCACTCCCGTTACGCGCTGGCTATAACGCTGAGTGCCCGATTGCTACGCTTTGCCTTGGCGCAAGCGAGGTTCCTCCTTTTTACAACGTGCACTACTCGCGCAGAAGCATCCCCATATCATGACATTAAAAAAAAAAAAAAAAACGGGGGGGGAGGGGGAAATGAAGATGGAGAAAAATGCGATCTGGGAAACCATTCCCAAACGGCTGCGGCATATGGCCTGACCTTTTTCCAAAGGGATGAGGAACGCCGTGCAAACTGCTCCAAGACGCTGAGGCGAGCCGAGTCCACAAAAAAGCTGCGCCCAGGCATGAGGCGCGAAAATGATGACTCGCTCTGCAAAATGTTATCCAATTCGATGCGCACCGCTACGCTGGGGCGGTGGTGAAGGGCTTAAAACAGCGAAGCCGCCTTCTCCTGCTCCTTGACGAGCATTTCGTAAAACTGATATATTATGGTTACGGCGAGTAGAATACCCGTGCCACTGCCCAAGGCCCCCAGAAAATCGGCGAGAATTGTCAACGCGCCAATGCACATGCCTCCAAAGGCTGCGGCGGTGGGGATATATCGATTGAAAACTCTGGTTAGGGATGTCGGCGTATCTCTATACCCCCTCATACCAATTTGCTGATCCCGCAATTGTTTCGCAACATCTTTAGCCGAGCTACCCGACACTTCAATCCACGTCTTCGAAAAGAAGGCACATGCCACAAGGACAAAGGAAATATACACGAGGGTGTGAAACGGGTCATTCGTAATATCAGCAAAGGAATTCGGAGGAGAAATGTAGTAAGCAATTCCACCAATAGGGATGGAGGTCCCACTCGATTCAACTTCCTGCCACTGTCCCAAAATATTTACCAAAATGCTATTCTTAAACCGTTTGTACAATATTTGCGAGAAGAAATATAAATTGGACACTAAGGCGGTCTGCAAAATGATGGGAATGTTGCTCGTATAAAATAGCTTTATTGGATATGTCCCCTGTTGTCCTCGTACACTTTGATACTTAACAGATAAATCCACTCTGAATCCTTGGAGGTATATAACAATGAGGAAGACCAAAATGGTGGCTAACAGGTTGGTAACATTAGGTGCATGGGTTCTATAGAAAGCTTTTTTCAAGGCAGATATTTTATTCGATTCAGTAAAGAGGCAGTAAACTAAAGAAATAATTGCTCCTTCAAATTCGATTCCCTTATCTGTGTTGATGGTAGTTGGACTAAAAGACTTCCACATAATCGTTTCACAAATGTTTGTTGCTATGAATAGTGAAATGCCAGACCCTAGTCCGTAACCCTTCTGTAACAGTTCATCTAACAAGATGACCACAACTCCAGCAAAAAATAATTGAAGTATAATGATAATGGCGTGTCCTGTTCCTATTTCAGATATGTTTCCATAGATCCCGCTAATCACATAGGCGATGGCTTCTCCTAAGGTTATTAACAATCCCAGTAACTTCTGCGCTCCTTGAAAAAGGGTTCTATCTTCCTTTAAGCTCTGATCTACGTCTATTATTTTTGAACCTGCCAATAGCTGCATTACCATGCCACTTGTTACTATGGGGGATATTCCCAACTCCATTAAAGTTCCTCTGTTGGAAGCCAAAATCACACGCATCCAATAAAATGGGTCACTTGATTTACTCGTCACGATACCGTACAGGGGTATTTGACAACATATCAGAAAGACAAACAAAGACACGGCTGTCCATAGCAGCTTTTCCTTGAATGGCAACTTCCTGTCTGGCGACTGCACCTCCGGCAGCAGGAACATAACCGGCTTGATCAAATTGAGGAATCTCACTGAATGGGAGGGGAAACCAAGGAGAGTCACAATTGGCACGTCAGTCAAAGCAAAGTGGGTGCGTCGGTTGCTGCGGGACATTCAACCCGGAATTGAGATAACACTACCACTTTGGTGAGTGTTCCGATAAATGGATACTTCAAAAAGCATAAGAATGCGTCCACGCGGTGACGTCGACAAAATAACCCTCCGGGATTGCATCCCTCTAGACGGACCCCTAACCCAAAACGGTTACATTATCAGACAACGGTTTGAAGCTCGTCCATGCCGCTTCACCGACGAAGCGACAATTCCTACATCTTACACACGGCGAACACAACACTCGCACACCCCACTCAAATGTTTACAAATTTTACGCGGTGATCATTCTTCGATTTTTCTCGCTCTTACCCATTTTTCCTTATTTAGTTTTCTTCTTTTTCGCGAACCTGCTTCATATTGGGGGTAAAAAAAAAAAAAAAAAAAAATTTTCCTTTTCCGCGCAATGTACCTTCAACTACGCATGTTCGGGATGAGTACATGTAACAAGCGCGATCAAAAGGGTGGTGTAGCCCTTTCGAGTGAGTCTTTAGAACTGCTCATGCTGCAGTTGTATGCATTTGTTTTGCAATTTTCTGGAGCAGGGACTTATTCACTTCCCCCTTCTGAGCTTCCTTCACGCCTTTCAACCTTTTTGTCTTTTGAACTTACTTTTATTCGCTGCACAAAGTTATCTCTTTTCGATTCGTGCCCTTCTACTCCTTGTCCCTCCTCACTTACTACGCGTTAACATAAAGAAGGGGGAACTTTCTAAATTAAATAATTTAACTATGCAAAAATCGGTGAAGCTTTGGTGAACGCTACGTAAGAGCTCGGAACATGGGGATAAGATCGAGTCAAGGTACGTACACGTAAGAAATGGAGGAAACAAAAAACCAACCTAATAAGCAAAAAGAAAAATAAAATAAAAGGTAGCTTCGTAATTATGACACATGCACTATTATCATGTATTACTAGTATGCATATGTATGTAAAAAGGTCTGTAAGCAGATTTGCTTTGGATCAGCGCATACTTTCTTGTATGCCCTTGAGTAGCAAATCGTAATTAACTGTTTGAGAAACAAATAAAAATATCATTATCAAACAAAAAAAAAAGGAAAAAAGAGGAAAAAAGAAAAGAAAAAAAAAGGAAGCAAAAATAGTGATGAATACATATATGCATATAATATACAATTTGGAAATTACATAAATGTGAGTTGCGAACTTATATTTTTTCTTATAATCTTTTTTTTTTTTTTGTACGAACAGTGAAATATCCATACACGTTAGGTATGCGATGTTATACGTATATACATATGTAATACACGCTTTGAAGTTTTTATTCTTATTTTTATTTTATTTTATTTCTATTTTATTCTTATTTTATTTTTGCGAAATCGGGATTTGCTTTGAGCAACTGTGCGCTATTCGTGACTAACTGCTTTATCGTAAGGGTTGTTTTACGAGCACGAATAGGAAGGTTTTTTTTTTTTGTTTTATAAATCTTCATAAAATGACTCATTTAGAGCATTCACATGAGCGCATAAGTTCTAGTGTATACACTCGTATGAAAGGCCTTAAAATACATTACGTGGTTTCAAAACACGTGGTGACAATATATTCACCATTTTTTCCGTATGTTTTAAACTCCAGAGTAATGGAAACCCTTTTCATGCTTGCAACTTGAAAATACCAGGTGGATTATCTGGGAAAAAATATCAAATTATAACGTCCTGTTTTTCTCCCCTCTCCCTGAACTTCTAATTTGAGCACACTTCTGATGTGTTATACACATGCGTAGTCACTGTTTCTTTTTTTTTTTTTACCGTTTTGTTGAAATGATAACCCTCGCGAGGTGGTTCACGGTGTATGATTCCCCCCGGTTGGGGCACGTACATTTCAGGTTATGACTACGTTTCGCTACAAAGGGGAACGGAAAAGGCAACCAAAGCAGAAAAGCGAATCGAAACAAGCCAAGCCAAATGAGACCAAACCAAATACACGTTAAACGTTGGTCCACTCGTCAGGAGTTTCATAACGTGTGTCCTGTGTCCCCTCCCCCGCCCTTTGCGCGAAAGCAGTTACACCGCCTTATTCACGCAAATGGTTAAGATGATTGATGAAAAGGAAAAAAGGAACGTGCGGAAAAATTTTACCAGCTGACCTTTTTTATCTATCTAATCGCATGCTCTGCTACGTTAAATATATAGAGAAAAAACACACATGTGAAATTTTACACTACCATGGGATGACTCTTTTTTTTTCCATACGCCACTTTCAAGCATGTAAAAAATTATAGGTCATGTTTATGCGCCACAATTTTTATGCGTATAAAAGGGAACCATTCTGCCAACTACTAATTCGTCAACCTGGTAAGAGAGCAGTTCACTGTTTATATGCGGCATAATTTATCTGTTCCCTCCTATGTTCCCCCCCCCCAAAAAAAAAAGAAATCCCTCCATTCATTACACACCATTTCAAGCAGGTTAAAAGGGTTGTAACATTTTCATAATTAGGTAAAATAAAATGCAAAAGAAGCTCTGTCAGGAAGGTGCTGTCCTGCGTTAAGAAACGGATCAAATTTATTTGTCCATCTGCTATTGCCCTGTGCAGGATTGCTATAAATACACCTTTTACAACTACACTATTTATATAAAAAAAGGTTTAAAAAAAAAAACCCCGATTGGCGAAAACAGCTGCACATTGGTTAAAAGGCGCAAGTGCTTTTATTGCCCCCTAATAATTACAAAAATGGGTAAATAAAAATACACGTAACATTTCAACCATGGGCAGGACAATGCGCCGAAATGTTCATGCAATCGGCATGCAGAACGTTCAAATTTTAACAAAAATGTTGTAATATACTTCATTTCTGTGTTGTCATTCTTCGTCAAACAAAGCAGACAAAGTCACTCACATAAGTGAATGCATGTTTGCTGAGGATACAAAACAAGGACAGAAGAATTACGACTCTTCTGCTTTTCCCCCCTTAATGCGCTTTTTTATAAGGAGGGAAAAATATAAGCGCACAACAGTTGCGTATAGGCGCCCTGTAAATGGCCAACACGCGGAAAGGTTAGTGTACCAGGGGAACATCAATGTAAAGAAAAATTCCTCCGTCTGTCTTTTTGCAGCCTCCTTACCCATTTCGTGCTTTTAATTTGTTTTATTTTTCCCGCTCTTTTTTTAGCAACGCTATATGTCCCTCAGGACAAAAAATAGAAAACAACATTTGCTGCCTTTCTCGTACTTTTCTTCAAAGGGAAAAAAAGAAAAAAAAAAAAAAAATGCTGACAAGAAAGGACATTTTTTTTCTTATAATGCTTACAATTTTTGCAAAAACGTAGAATGTCCCTTTTTGCTCACTTTGTTGTCCTAATTTTTCACGCGGATGTGTGTGTATCCCCTTTTTTTCTTCTTTTCCTCCTTTTGGCACATTTTCTTCGTTTCATCATTCCACATAATTATCGTTGCAACTGTCAAAAGGAAAAAGTGAAAATATTATAAGTGAAAAAAGCTAGCTACATGGAAAAAAAAATTATAGACAGTTAATAAAGAAGAAAAAAAAAGAAACTTTCCTTTTGAAGCATAAATAGTATACACTTTAAGAAAAAGCGATTAGGCTAATCAGGGCGAGCACTCAAAGGGTTTCTCAGACAGGGAGAATATGAACAAAATGGCGGGTAGCAACTGGGGAGCAGAGGGGGAAGGAAGAGACACAGGCGATGGCGGCGACCGAGGCGACCACAGCAGTGGGAGCGAGCATAGTGGGAAAAGTGAACAGTCTGGGGAAAACGTCACACGTGAAAGGGTTCAGCAGAAGGGCTCGGAAAAGCAATCCGAAGGAAGGACCACAAACGATGCCACAAACGAAGCTACAGACGATGCCAGAAAGGATTGTCCAAACGATCCCCCAAATGATTCCCCAAACGATGTGGAGAACTCGCACGGAAAAGAAGAACCAAAGGGGCAAGGCAGTAACCTATGCACAAGCTCCCTAGAGGAGGAAAAGAAAGAACAAGAAAAAGACTTTATTGAAAGTACGCGTGATGATTACCCCGTTGATGAGAAGGCACCACTCGGTGTGCAGGGAGAAAGCCACAAAGATGGAGGAAAAAGAATAAAACCCAAGGGTTTTAAACCAAACGATACGTATAACGACGCAAAGAAGGGAGAAATCAACTCGAGCAGAAACAGGAAAATAACGAAAGAAAATTTAAAAGTAGATATGCGGGACTTCTTTTTTACCTCACAGGAGAAGGATGTGTACGAATATATTCCAGACACGTCCAACTACACCATATGTCACAATGAAGCAAATAAATTGTATAAAGATGTAGTCACCATGAATAAGCATTTTCTTGACGAAATAAATGTTAACATATATTCGTCTCCTCTGGATACCTACTTGTCGAGCATGGTAGCCGCCGTAAGGGAGGACTCAAAACGGGGCGAAGTAAATCCTCTGTTTTGGGCGAACTCAAAGAGCGAAAATAACAATAACAATGACGATAAGAATAACAATAAGAATGACAATTTATCAGATGAAAAAAGGAAAAAAAAACAGAGCGATATCTTGGATGAAAGTCCCCTGAACAAACCACTATATTCTTACGAGTTTTACAAAAATAAAATCTTTAAGCATTATCATAGTAACGGTTTAGTCATCGAAGTAGATCCTGAAAAATTAAAATATAACAACTCTACGCAGTATGAATATGGTCAGAATAGGTCCACTAATTTAGACGACCCTCTGTCTTATTTGCAAAAATTAAAGTGCGAAGTGGAAGACCTAACTGCCTACATTAACGATTTAGCCAATAGGAAGAGGGAAGAATACGACCCGGATAAGCCATACGACAGATTAAACGAAGATGTAACAGAGCATGAACAAATTATTAAGAAAATTATGCATAACCGAGAGGCACCCGAAATACTGCTGGAACTTTTTTCGCTAAAAAATGACATCGACGATATGATAAATGATGACAATTTGAGAATACTGCTCAAGTCGGAAAAAGCGGAGAAAATGGCGCCCCAGCAGGGGGTCACTAGTTCTCCTGAGGATTGTAACAGAGAAGTGATGAGAGCTATGCTCGACCGGCTACAGAACTGGGATGATGTTCTCCCGAAAAAAGGAGACCCAACTGATGAAAAGGATAACAAAGACATCCAAAATGAAGTCCAAAATGGCATACAAAAGGGTATCCAAAAGGACTTACGTGGGGATTCTTTTCCAAAACAAGTGAACATCTACACCCTACAAAATGGGAAAGAAAAGGAAATTCAAACTGCCCACCTACTAACGTTGGAAAGAAAAATTGCAGATATTGAAAAGGCCTTGGGGGTCGATAAAATGGCCATGCTTCCATATGATGATCTGAATCATGCCATCCTAGATTTATACAATAAACTAAGCCTTCTAGATTCCATGAAATTAGAGAGTGTGAAAAAAAAAATGCAAAATCTGCAATCCGAATTTTTAAACTTAAGAAAATTCAAAAAAGAACTTTTAAGCGTTTCCAAAGATCGAGGAAATTATGAAGAGTCCATTGATGAACTTTTTAAAATCTTAGACCTCTGGAAGAAGACTCACCATATGATTCCAAACGTGTTGGCAAGGCTGCACCAACTGAAACGGGTTCATGACAACGCGCAGTCCTTCTCTTCCAGGCTCGACGGTGGGCACAGCGTGGATATGTTCACCTATGCGAGCGTCAATGTGTTCACCTATGCGAGCGTCAATGTGTTCATCTGTGCCAGCGTGAATGTGTTCATTTATGCCAGCGTGGATATGTCGTCACAACAAAAGGCGTGACACCAAATACACACATCTTTTCACTCTGCCCATTTCTCAGATTTGGAAAAGCAGCAAAGCAAGCTAGATGACACAATCAGCCTCGCCGAGCAAAATATCAAACTGATCAATTCCAAGATTGACCAAAATGTGCATTTCCTGCAGGAAACGTTTAGGAAGATGGAATTATGAGGGGTCCCCTTCTCGTATAACGAGTAAAGGGATGGCCCCCCAAACGGCAACACAGAACGGAAAGAAACGGAAGCGTCATTATTTTCACTTTGCTCACAGTTTAATGAAAAAAAAAAGAAAAAAAAAGAGAAGTCTCATTTTGTTCCTTTTTGCTCGGTTTACGTTTCCCGAGCGATATTCCCCCTCGGCGAATAAACCCCACTTGGGAGAAGAAAAAAAAAAGGAGAAACAGCGAGTAATCATTTTTTCCCTTTCACTTATCCCTTCAAATCACACTTCCTATTTTGCGTATCAGCAATTTTTTTTTTTTTTTTTTTTTTGCATTGTACATAGGCTGCAATTATTCCCCCCGGCACTCCGAACTACGCTCTGTTTTTTTTAGTCGTTATTCTTCCTTTTTCTGTTTTCCCCGGAGGAAAAAATCTTCATGCCATTTACACACCCATCTGCTAGGAAAAGGCGTATGCTAGGTGCAAACGTGGGAGGAAGGACAGATTGCAAGGGCTTATGCGAGGGAAGCGGGTCAGAGGGATAAACGGACATACGCAAACAGGATCGGTCAGCTCCCAACTTGACGAGCGAGGCGTACGTAGGCTTACTCCTTCATTTCGAATGACAAGCGAAAAGGTTCCCTCTTTATCCCTTCTCAATTTCGTCGCCCATTTGTACCAACGAGGAGTCTCCCCTTTTTCTCAGCGAACGAGGCATAATCGAAGTGCCTCCATTTGTATGTCCCCCCTTTTTTTTTTTTTTTTAACAATTAATAAGGCGAAAAGGTAAGACAGTGAATTTTTAGGAGAACGCAGCGGAATGGGTACATGCCGGGGTGATTGCGTTGCCTATCAGTTCGTCCCGCAGTTGGTTTGTTCTCTTTACCCATCCATCCAATTTTCCTTTTTCTTGGCACCAATGAGCTTATTTTCACGCAAAGTATCAAGTCAGCTATTTTCCCTTCCACTTTGACCCCATCCAGATTTGTAACTTTTTCCTTTTCCTTCTCCTCGCCGCTATAACCGCGCCAAGTGAGTGTCGAAAAATGTGCACGTAGGGGCTGCCCCGTGATTGTGGCACTCCACGCATTTGCGCAGCTCTTTGAAGTGGTGAAGCATTTCACAGAAATGAATTCGCCTCCCGTGTGCTGCATAAATCGAGTGTACCATAAGTCGCATATATCACGTAAAACAGTTAACAAAAAAGATAAGAAATCATTCGCACTTGCTCCAAAAGGGAAAAGATAAAAATACTTCCCCCAGACACAGAGTACCTGACTCATCCAAATGGAGGACGTGATTAACAACAACGAGGTAAAGCGGGCCCTGCAGCAACAGCTCAATCAGATGGTGGAAGAAAACGAAAAGCAGTACAACGACTTAATATCGTACATCGAAAATGAGAAAAGTAAGTCCGATCGAGAATGTGCCAGGGGCGCCATGTAAAGGTGGCGTCGGGAGTGACACGTTTATTGGCCGTCTGGTGATGCCATTGTACCACTTCGATTATGCCTCTTCATATTGTGTCCCCCCTTTTTCCGCCATTCTACCATCCCCCCCTGGGCAGAACAGATTGAAATCATGAAAAACAAAACGAGGGAGAAGAAAAGTTCAATAAACAGGATAACCCACGGTATGGCGAACACTGACAAGTGGAGGAGGAGTGGGAGGAGGAAGGGGACGCACTGGTCGGTATAACTGCACATCGGTCTGCCGACGTACCCCTGTGCACCTTTAAAAGGGCAAACATACCCCTACGTGTGTCCTGCCTTAGTATGTGGGAAGTTCTCCCTCTGGCCTCGCTTCGCCCAGTTGTGTAACCCACCTCGTAACTTAGATCGTACCGGGCGTCATATAACACTTCATGCAACACGCCATGCCCACTTTCTTTTACGTCCTCCCCTTCAAGAAATCGAAGCCAATACCGTCCTAGTCACAGAGCTGAAGGAAAGCGTGATGGTGAGACGCAAAACAAGTTGGCCCAGCCGGCAATTGTGAATTCCATCCCTAGGCACAGTTACACATGTGCCTTATGCCTCACACGCAACCACAGGAAGAGGAGAAAAAGCTAGACGAATACCCGAAGCTGATTGAAGAAATTAACGAACAACTGAATTTGATTTTAAAAAATTTCGATTCCTCCAAATTGGGTACGTGACGTGTGTGAAATTTTTCACTCGCTGGAAAAATATGCAGACGTTTATTTCGTCCGGTTGGTCATTCCATTTTCAGTCCATCTCTTCCCTTTTTTCCACGTGGGGTGACGACTTCGTAGAGTACAATACGGTCAAGCTGCATAAGGACTACATTCAGAATGAGTGGAAGAGAAAATTGGACACCCTCTACAATCTGCTCGGATTTGAAATCATATTACAAGGTCTGCGCACACGATGTGTTCCCCTCGGGGAGTAGCTCCTCTATGTAGAGCTGCGCATGTGTGCATGTCTGAAGCGATGATCCCCTCTAAACAGTCACAACTGAGTTGAATCTGTGGCAGGGTCTGCTTGTACTTTCTTCCCCTTTGCAAAAACAGCACCGATTGCTTATCCCGCTCATTCCTATCACCACCCTACAGATGACAAAATAGCAATAGAATTTTCGAATATTCAACCAGGGGATCCTCAGAAGAAATATCGAGCCACTGTCGCTTTGCACAACGGGACTTACGAAGGTTCGCCGAATTGCTCTTTTAAATGACCATCCCACGACGGAGGGGCGTTCCTCTCAGGCAAAGGGGCCAGCAAGGGGTTATATAACCCACGTTATGCACCCACGTTAAGCATACACACCTCCACTATACGCTTCCCCCCCTTGTCCTCCCCCGTAGCCATCGAAACCGCGCCGCGACTAACCAAATTTGACGATTATGTAAACGGCCTAAATAAGGGACTGCCCTTCACAACCTTCTGCTGCTTACTCAGAAAGTCATTCAAGGAATTAAAATAATGCTTCAGAAAAAGGTCTCCATTGTTTTGGTTTCCTCTTTCTGCAGCACTCACCTTCGCAAGGAGTTCCACTCTGTAAATAATTTGCATCATCAAATGGTGTGCACATTTTTTTTTTTTTTTTTTTGCGTAATTGTGATTTTTAAAATGGAAAAAAATGGAAGGAACGATTTTTTTTTCACGTCCTTCTGTGCTTATCGTACAATTTGGTAAAACAGAACACACCTAGTTTGTAAAAATGCTAATCTGATTTCTGTTTTAGGGGGATAAAACAGTTCCTCTTTATTTTTGTGCACTTATGTTTACTTCCCCTCTCGTCCCTTTTGCCTGAAGCAAAACCCCACCGGGTAACCAGGACGGGGATATCCCCCCAATGTGCAGACGTTGTCCACCGTCACCGAACTGGGATGCAAATGAGGATTCTTCTCTTCCCATCTGATTAAGTGGCGCAGTGGATTCACCGAGACATGGGAAGATGGCCTGCCCGGTGGGCTACTATAATTCCACTGGTGATTCAAAATTTTCACGTGCGGGAAGGAATGCATTCTTTGCGCATTCGTTCAATTAGGTTTTTCTTTTTCTTTTTTTTTTTTTGTGAAGAGTGTGTAAAAGTACAAGAACACGTAGAGCAAACGATGTGGTGGTGATAGCGAGTGTCAAGAGGATGGGAGGGAACCACATGGAGATATGCCTCCAAATAGGGCTACTCCAAATAGGTCGCCTCAATCGGGGCCGTTTGCAATGTGGGCCCCCTCACAAATTGGTGGGATGCATGAAAAAAGGGACCTCCTTCAGGGAGCTCTTCATCTCGAGTCCATGCGAAGGAGACAACAGGGAGTGAACATAGTTCGAATGTTCATAGGTCAAGAATAAATGATTTGGAGTGTCCACAAATTTGTAAATTTGATCAAAAATGAGCGTTCTGTAGTAATACTGTCCTGCACTGGCCTCCGAGGCCTCCCCAGAGGAAGAAAAGTCGGCTCCCAAGTTGGATGCGCCACTACATTCCGCATTGACATACGATGATGATGCCTTCTCCGATGGGGATGAAACGAACATGTCGGAATAATTCCTCCTTCCAGCGGTTATGTCTTCATGGTAATGAAAAAAGGTTTTAAATTGTCTTTTATCACACCATCGCCACATGTTCACAAAGGAAGTAGGGAAGTTACACCCCTCGATTTCTCTGTCTCTTCTCTCTTTTATAATAGTATAAATGAATGACTCATCGGAAAGGATTTTATCTTTTACGAAATTTTCCTCGCCCTGATTTGCTTCCTCCTTCTTCTGCGTCACCAACGGATTCAAAATGACGTTGTCGTGGAAACCACAGTACCTCTTATTACTGCAGTAGAACCTGGAGTTATAATTTCTTTTCAAATTGAACAAATAAAGGATCTTCTCATTCTGACGAGAACTGTGCGTCTCTGTGATGGCACTCTCGTAATGCAGACACGTGGAGGGGTATTTATACCTCAGGTCAAATAAAAAAATGGAGTTGTTCGAATTTAGTGAAGTTAGTGATATCCCAGTTAGACTCAAATCATGGAAATAATTTTCACTGTTAAAATATTTCTTATCATTATCGTAATCGATTAGATTGTAATTCACATAAGACACGTAGCTGGACATTCTCCTATCATCAATGAGGATGTTCTTTTTGCTCATAACAATGTTGGTGTTGTAATCGAAGCAGACAATTTTCTTCAAATCTTCCATCAGCCGTTTGTCGCTTTCGACTGCTCCACTCTCCAGGTCTATTCGGTAGCATATGGCTTGGTTAAGGCCCACGCTGCATTTCCCCTTGTCACTCATCACTACGTTTTTTACTTTTCCTCCTTCGCTCAGTTGCTGCCCATCGAGCTGCGCGATTCGCTTGGCCGATATGGGGTTCGTTCCTGCGGTGGAGTAGCGAGGGGAGAACAATTACAGTGGACTGAAGCACGAGGTATAATTCACAAGCTTCTTCTCTCACACGGGGGGAGCAGAAGACACGGACACATAGACGCGGACACACAGACAGGGCATCCACTCGACGTACCTTCCAACGAGAAGAAATATATCGCCGACTCGTCGGCCACCAAGAAGGTGTCATCCCTGAGGTTCACCGCATCCCTGGGGGCGAGGGCATCCTTCCCCCCCAATGTCAGCTGCGCCTCCAGCAAAGGTGTTGGAAGTAACGAATTCACATCGTTAACCTTCCACAAATTTACACACCCACACCTGTCCATAGAAAGGAAGGAACTAAACGAGGGGTACAACTGACTCTGCCTGTTGTGAATCAATTTTAGTAAACCTCTGTGCTGACCATTTGACCCCCTCGTTTTGTGCACAAAATAATTCTCATGCACGTAGTTGCTTTTCAAGTTCCATCTTCTCTGTACATGTTTCTTTAATTTTATTTTATATTCAAAGGAGGTGATTTTATTGCCATAGGGAAAAACATCGTCGTAGAAAACGTCCCTCCTTCTGTTGGAGCTACGTTTAAATTTCTCATCAGAGGTGCAGAAAGTTACCCCCTCTCTGTTCTCTTTGCTTAAATAAATTCGGATGAATTCATACAAACTGAACAAGTACCTCATGTTCATAATATTATTTGTGTGAAGTATCTTTTCTCCATTTTTTACACTCTTCTTTGCTTTCTCCGGGGGGTTACTACTACTCTGGTGTGTATCCCCGGACGGGGTTGTTCCTTCCTTTGTTGAGTTTTCACTTCCCATGGGGTTATTCCCTGCAGAGTTCTCTTCCATTTCTCTGTTGGTGGAGAAATCACCAGGGGAGGGTACCCCATGTTGTCCATCCGAATTTCCACCGCTGAGTTTTCCTCCTTTCTTTAAAGTGAGTTCTTCTGTGCTTAAGTTTTGCCCCCCGTTTGAGGAACCCTCCTGAAGGTTGTCATGAATCCCACCGATGATGGACTCGCAAGTGAGTAGCTCCCTTTTCTGGTCGAGGGGACTCTCCCAATTGTCCTCCACACAGTTCGACCCCTTCAGAATATAAAACTGGTACTCTTTATTCTCATTTAAAAATCGTATAATGTCTTTGACATTCTGTCTGAACGGATTCACATGCACATTGACGTAAAAGAATCGATTAAAGATTTCGTAGGAACACTTGCACAGGGGCATTAACTTGATTATCTCGTTAAAGGTGAAAAACTCACTTAACAGGAGGAAGTACAAAAAATTATTCATCATCCAGATAAGGGGGTTCCTAAAATTCACGTCCTCCGCCTCACTGTAGTGGTCACTGGTTTGTAGGGCAAGTTGCCCACTCAGAGGAGATCCAACCTCGCTATTGGCTGCTTTTCCATTATGCTTCCGGACGTCACGCGAGGGGGAACCGCTGTTCACACTTCTTTGGAAGGCGCTTCTCCCTCTTTCCTGATCCGCCAATGTAGTAAGTGCCCCCTCCAACATACCCACCTCACTAGCATTGCTATCACTTCTGCACCTCCCGACGTAGTTTATTTTCCTCTTTCTTTTAACAGGCCTCTCTTGCACACAATTTAGGGAAGCGTACATGCGAAAACTTAGCTTGTTCCAATTCGTGTAATAATTTGTGTAGCTGTATTTATTAAACGGAACCAGGAAGTATACAAATGAGTTCTTATCAAAGAGGGATTCGATTATGTAATTCGTTTTATACCCCTCGTAGAGGGAGTAATACGAATTGTCATCATTTGAGACGCATTCTATGCAACTCGAATCTTCCCCGTCTTCCTCGTCTTCCTCGTCTTCCTCTTCTTCGTCATCTTCTCCTTCTTCCTCTTCCTCCTCTTCTTGCAGCTCACTTCCAGACGTCGCCACCTCGTCATTTGGGCCATTACCACCATTCTGAGCCTCCCCTCGAATGAAGTTATTTCCTACGTTATGACTGTGGCGCGTGTTGCCAAATGACTGCACTGCATCCTTTTCTCCACCAGCGGGGTGATCATTTATGGCGGCCCCCTTATGGAGCGTGGTGTCCCTTTCCTCCACCCCGCAACCAGCGGTCCTACGCAATCCACCCACAGATAGCTTGCTTACCTCATTTTCATTTTTCCTACATTCGTAAAATGAGTTAAAATTGTCATTCTTCTTTAGCATTTTGTCCAACTCGAAAGTGCCCATATGATCTTTTTTTTTTTCTTCTTTTACCCTACTGCTTAACCGATCGGCTATTTCTTATTTTGGCATGAAGGATGGATGCTGCTTTGCCTACTACGCACGTGACGATCGGTGTTCAAAGTTACGTGGTCGGGTGGAGTGATCGAAGATAATGCGCCGCGGCGCGAACAACTCAAATTGGGGAATGCAGACAGCTGTGGACAGCCGGTTCCGTGGGACGCAGCGCAAAACCGTTATGTAGTTCTACACTGTTACATCGCCCATACGACGGTGACATACACGCACTGGCATATAATGACGTGCAAGCTACAAACAGGGGGGCCCCTTCCGAAATTGCAGAACAAAGGCAAAACTTGTCTGTTAAAAAAAAAGGCGTCCTTCTTGTGCGTCTCCAAAAGAATGTTTCAAAAATGGGGCAAAATGGACAAAGGAAATGATCAAATAAAAAAAGGGGGCAAAGGGGGGGAGAGAAGTATACCCCTCCACGTGCTGCCAATTCCTGCGGATGAAAGCAAAACTGATTAAAGCGTCTTTTTAAACTGTTCCGTTACTCGAGCAACTGGAAGGTTACAAAGGGTCATCGATTTGGGGCAAATGAAATGCCTCAATCGCTTGGGCCAGCGGCTTCCACGAATACATGCGTGATCGCGCATACACTGAATTCGTCACCCAACAGTGCGAAGAGGGTCCCTGAATGGGGTTAACCCAGCGTGGTGAAAAGAAAGGTGAGGCCAAATGAGAGGTGAAGCCAAATCGGCGTACCACCGTTCTACACTTTCGGCCTTCTGCAAACACTTTCTTGATGTCCCCACTCTCTGGGGGAAAAAAAAATGCCACTGCCACCGAATCAGATCATGTACACTGTTGTATCGTCCCTTCTCCCTGTTACATGAAGATGAACTTGGGCAAAGAGAATCAACTTCGGAAGGGGGGAAGGAAAGTATCGATACAAGCCCGTGCTCATACGGTTAGGGTTCTCATGCAGATATAAAAAGTAAATAAAAAAAAAGGGGGATCCTAACAAATTTAAAAGCGTTCTTTTTTTTTTTTTTTTTTTCACATACTTCTGTTGGATGTTTCACGGTGCTACACGAATTCATGTTACATTTGCCCATCCCGTCCCCGCAAGTAACGTATGTACGTGAGATATAGATACACATATGAATAAAAATACATATGTTCGTTAGGTCCTCCTTGGGATCTCACTAAAGCCGTATGAGAGGGAAAACAGAAAGTTTATCCTTCCACCCCCCTAGCCAATTAAAATAAAGTGCGTACAGGTTGATGTATTCTTCTACATTTTTTGCAGATTATGGATTAAACATTTCTGAGGGTCATAGAGTGGGGGAAAAAAGAAAAAAAAATGGGAAGCGGTACTTTTTTAATATATATACAAATCAGCATAAATTGCAAAAAAGAATTGTCACCTTTTTGCATTTCTATTTTTTGTGAAACTTACCCTAACATGTAGTGTGAAGAGGAGTACTCTTCATTTATCCACTTGGGGAAGTGCGCCGAAATAGTTTTGCTTCTCTCATCCCGGCGGGGGAATAAACCCGAGAAAGGCAAACAAAGGATGTAAAAAGAGGTTTGTAGTTTTGCAGTTTGCAGTTTTCTGCCCCCAATTTGCACATAATTTTTTTTCTTTTTTTTTTTTGGCACCAGTGCGGGAAGGCACCGCGGCTCCGTTATGAGCAAGTGCCCGCCCTGAACACACGCGGGAAGGTAAACTAATCATTCCACACCGTGGATTCGCCGCCGCTTCGCTCCTACAACCACGTACATAATGCCCTGTGCGTGTGAAGATATACGCGCCTTACGCGATGACATCAGGGGGGGACACTCCCACGAAGTGGCACTCCGGCGCTATTCTGTGCAGAGTTTGTTGTGCCACATTTTTTGAGGAATCTTTGAGGCAATCGCTTTTTTTTTGTGTAGCACCTTAGATGCCCCCCTTTTTCTTACCTGTTCACGCAGAAAAAAACACACCGGCAGAGAAACTCCTGGCTCGCGCACGGTCCTCTATCCTAAGGTGAAGAAAATTTCCATAACATCGGTTCCTCCCGTTTTGTTCCGCTTTTTTTCTCCGACGGAGGAAGGGATACACGGCAGGCTACTTTCTTGAGCTTGCTCCGGAGCGACGTCGCCAAGAAGTCGGCAATAAATAAAGCAGTATTGTAGCGGCGAACCGATCGCTCTGAATCGAAGCAGAGATGCGGAGAAGCAGATGAAAAGTGCCACTACACAGCACGTCACCCAAGCTCGGCACCACCTTCGCCTATGAGATTAATAACGAAGGGGAAAACCCTTTTCCTGAAGTATTCTCCGCAAACAGAAGGAATCTCCATCGGCTAGGCGCACACAAAAGAGGAATTACCACCCCCCAGGGAAAACTCCCACGAGTCAAACGTGAGAAAACCGACGACTGTGCAACGTGGGATACATCCATCGACAAACGGAACCACTCCGCCGCTTCCCCACTTCGCCTCGCAAAATGGGAAGAACCACACATCTGTGGAAGAATCCCTGGATCCAAAATGCCACCAGGGGAAATGCGAGTAAAAGCGCGGCGTTCAATATCTGTGGGAAGGTGAAGGTAACAAACCCAATAGTGGAGTTAGATGGAGATGAAATGACCAGAATTATTTGGAAGAAAATCAAAGAGAAGCTAATCATACCCTACTTGGATCTGAACATAAAGTACTTCGATTTGTCCATCCAGAATCGAGACAAAACAAATGACCAAGTGACGTTAGAAGCAGCAGAAGAAATAAAGAAATCGTCGGTAGGCATTAAATGTGCAACCATTACACCAGATGCATCTAGAGTCAAAGAATTTCACTTAAAAAAAATGTGGAAAAGTCCAAACGGAACCATTAGAAACATACTAGACGGCACGGTATTCAGAGCCCCCATTCTGATCAAAAACATCCCGAGGTTAATTCCAAATTGGAAGAAGCCAATCATTATAGGAAGACATGCTTATGCTGACCAGTACAAGCAGAAGTCATTAAAGATCGATAAAAGTGGAAAGTTCGAAATTGTTTTTACCCCAGATGATAACTCTCAAATTATGAGAGAAGAAATTTTCCACTTCAAATCACCAGGGGTCTGTCTGGGAATGTATAACACGCAAGAGTCCATCACCAACTTCGCTCTTTCGTGCTTTCAGTATGCACTGGATTTAAAGATGCCTGTTTATATGAGTACTAAAAATACTATACTCAAAATATACGATGGGCTATTTATGGAGATTTTCCAGAAAATATATGATGAGAAATTTCGCTCTACATTTGAGCAGCACAACTTATGGTATGAACACAAGCTAATCGATGACATGGTTGCTCAAGTGCTGAAATCTGAAGGGGGATTTGTATGGGCTTGTAAAAATTACGATGGAGATATTCAATCTGATGCAGTTGCACAAGGATATGGGAGCCTAGGTCTAATGAGCTCCATCCTAATATGTCCAGATGGAGTTACGTGCGTGTCAGAAGCAGCACATGGAACGGTTACGCGACATTATCGATGCCATCAAAGGGGAGAGAAGACGTCCACTAACCCTATTGCTTCTATCTTTGCCTGGACTAGGGGATTACAACATAGAGCCAAGTTAGACAAGAATCAGCCTCTCCAACTATTCTGCTATGCTCTAGAAAGGGCATGCATAGAAACTGTAGAGGATGGGCTAATGCCCAAGGACCTTGCTGCCTGCATAAAGGGACTTAAAAATGTCACCGAGAAGGATTACCTTTTCACCGATGATTTCATTAATGCCATTAACGAGAAACTTAAGTTGAAGCTCCTCGCAAATCAGGCGAAAAATGACGCCGAGGCAGCCACCACCACCAAGCTTGAAAACGAGAACTGGAACAATTATGCCCCGCAGGAGCATTCCTCGTGAGGCGATCCCTCTGCGGAGGAATTCGCGTATTATGACACAATGCATTATTCGACGCTGCATTATGCAACGCTTCATTGTGCCACACTTCACTATGCTAGACTCTATTGTGTGTTTTTTTCTCTTCCCCCACCGTAATGCACCTATGCATGCGCATACGACGAAGCGGCAACGGCCACTCTGTCCACATATCACAGTGAACTTCAAAAGGAAGAGTGCACAGCGCATTGTCCACAAATTGTAACACCTCACCCATCGCATTCGACGCTACAACGTGGTGCCTTTCATTCTACTCAGAAATTAGGAGGCAACCATAACCCCTTCAGCTTAAGCAAATCAGGATGCCTTCAAAAAACAAAACAGAAACAAATGCGTTGTGGGAAACTATACAGCATATACAAGAGGGTACACAACAAGATGGAAACAAAGGAAAGAAAAAAAGACATCCATCAAATGATACACAAAAATAAAAAACAGGACAATTGGAGAAACGCAAATGTCGGTTAATTATTACTCCTAAAATTTAAAATATTTAAAAAAAAAAACAAAAAAAATTTTAAAATAACAGAGTGATAATGGAAAACGAAAACTTCCCTGCAGTCAGGGGGGGGCACTCCACTTCCCCCCTCTAATGCATATAAATACACACACGGAAAGAGGTGCGCTCGAATAAAGCGTAGAACAAACGCACCCCGAGAGTTCACCCTTGTATAGATGTGAACACCTTTGCATAAAAAAAAAAAGAAATTGGGGAAGACCATTCGACTGACATGGTAAAAAATGGGTCTTACCTAGGCGCGCCCCTTCCCCATCCAGATAGTCACCCAAAGGAGAGCTCCTCACATCAACACCACACTGTTCCTTTCAAAGTTGCTAAATTGGGGCAACTCAATTTTCCCATTCTCATCTTTGGGAAAGTTGCCCAATTTATAGTACACCTCCTCAAACTCTTTTCTGTTTTGTTGGACCATCTCTTTGATCTTTTCCCTATCTTTCAAGAAGTCCATTTTATTAGTGTCCTTACCATCCATCCAGTTGTTTATGAGGTCCCAGATCCTGTTAAAAATGGTACGAGACT